AGCAGGGGAGCTGGGGGGAGCCACATAGATTTCCAGAGAGGAGACCTGAGGGCCAGGGCTAGGAAGGAGAGGGTAAGGTGGGCTGCGGGGTGGGCAGGAAATCTCTCAGGCTGACTTGGGGGCAGCTGAGAGGATCTGTAGAGAAATCACCACAGTGGAGGCAGCTTCCTTAATTGAGTTCCAGTTGCCTCTGGCTTTACCTCACCCCAAGGGGGGTTATGCCTCATTGCCCAAGTCCTCAGTGTACAGACCAGGATGCTGAGGTGGAGACATCCAGGGTCACAGCTCAGCAGAGGCAGGGGGGCCAGACAGGCATTTCCTCACCGAGGTACAGGATCCTCTTTGCATGAAAAGGGGGTTGAGCGAGATGAGGGATCCTCAGGCCTGCACGCCAGGGCCTCTGCAGCGGCTAAAGCACCCCAGGTGATTCCAGCGTGCGCAGCTGGATCCCTGGCCAGCCCAGGCCCTGTGTCCTATACCCCACAGCTGGATTGAAGGATATTGTTCACCTTCTACCTTAATAGAGATGTGGTCCTGGGCCTGGTGGACTAGCCACAGCTGGCTGGGGAGCAAGAAAGTGCTCACCCACTGCCCAGAGCAACTGAGGCCAAAGGTGAATCAAGAATTTGCCTATGAATCCTGATTTAGAAATGCAAGAGAAACTGTTAAAGGGTTTGAAAGTGGACTTGTGAGACAGGAACATAGAAAGGACAAGTGTTGCTCTGTGCTATCTTTTGACTAAAATTTATTTGCATATTATACTTTGCTGAAAATAGCAGTTGATGAAGAAATCACCAATATAAAGGAACTGCCTGCTGGCACCGGGGAAGCTCATGGCTGACGCCCAGACAGGAGCCCAGGCACCTGATTTCAATGAGTATCTTTGTTGCCAAATACCTGGCCACAGCCTCAGCCTGGCACTGCCTGTTCCTGGATGCTGCCCCCACACCCACCCAGATGGCCAGAGCCCACAAGATCACCGGTCAGGTGCCTGATGATGCGGGCCGGCGCCTTGGGAACTGGGGCAACAGTTGCTCACCCAAAAATGACTCAGGCAGGAAGGGGGAAAAGTAAGGAGGGATGGAGGGAAGCTGTTTGTGTCCTCACTCCAACCCTAGCCTTCAGGTCTATGAGTTTTAGCAAATAAAAACACCAGATGCCCAGTTAAATTTGAATTTCAGATTCACAATGGATAATTTTTTAAGTTTACTATGTCTCAAGTATTGCATGGGACATATTTATACTAAAAATAGATGACTTCTAATCTGAAATTGAGATTTAACTGGGGACCCTAAGGTTTACCAGGCATCCGAGATCCCAGGAGCAATGGTTCCCACCCAGGTCTCCACCCTGGGGCAAGTATGACGTTTCAGCGGGGCAGATCAGTAACTCAGAATGATGAAAAGCATGAAGGGGTGACTGAAAGAATCAGGTAGCAGCTGTGAGAAATGGAACGAGGGAGCGAGAGGAGCTCTCCACTCCTCTTAGGCAGAAGACACATCCAGGGGCCTCTTCATGCCAGCTCCTGAGTGAGACCTCTTATCACTTGTGGTGCCTTCATCTAGCACCGGGCCTCTGGGGTCCAGACCAGCTGGGACTTCGCAGGAACAGAAACCAGAAAGAACATATTTATAACTTCTTAAGCAAGAGGGAGGGGAGGAAAACAGAAGCCACAAAGACTGATTGCTAGATTTCAGATGACACAACAACAGCACTTCTGACCACAAAGGATACCATAAACAAAGATAAAGGGCAAATGACAGATTGGGAGGAAATATCTGCAATATATATTACATCCATAATATGTAAAGATTCCCCACCATTCAACAAGAAAAAGACAAACTGGGGCGGGGGCAGGGAAATGAACAAAGGATGATGTGACGGATCATTTCAGTAGTCAACTTGGAGAGTGTTTTTGGGAGGAGAGGAACCTTAAATTGGCTAAAGTAAATTGCCCTGTCTATGTGGTCCTCTTCCAATCAGTTGAAGACCTGAATAGAATAAAATGACTTCCTCTCCAGGCAAGAGGAAACTCTCCAAAAATTGCCTTTGGACTTGATACACTCTGGCTCTCTGGGTCTTCTGCCTGCCAGCTTACATTGCAGATTTTGGACTCACTAGACTCAAACTTAAAGCGACTGCTTCTAGAAATTTTGGCACACACACACACACATGCCCTGATCATCCTATGATCTTCTGTTGCTGGGAAATCAGATGACAACATTTGTTTAAAAATACATGAAATGAGAGAGAAAAAGGCTTTGTGTGAAGAAAACTATAAGCTCTCTCAGAGAAAGTCTGTGACCCTCAGCACCACTGATATCTGAGTCAAGAACACCCCTGTGCTGTGGGGACTGTCCTGAGCATCAGAGAGAAAGTAGCACCCTGGTCTCTGCTCACTTGTGGTGTCTCCCCCAGTGGTGACAAGCCCAGAATGTCTCCAGACATTGCCAAATGTCCCCGCTGGGCAAATGACCCCTATTTAAGAATCACTGAGTGAAGGGTTTTGTGATACGTGTTTCAGTCACTCAAGTTTTTTTTTTCCCTGCCTGTATTTGTTCCTTGGTTCTGTGTAGTTGTGATTACTAGGCTCACGTACTGACATTTCATAAAAATCACATTGTGTGTGTGATCCATAGAAGCATCCTCATTGTGGGGCCTCCTTGGTGGCGCAAGGGGTTAAGTCACAGCACTATGAAGCAATCCGCAGCCACTGCAGCACGACTTTGATCCCCAACCAGGGAGCTACCCACATGGCGCAGCAGACCTCTCCTGACTCACCCGCTGCTCCTCTCACTCAATCTGCATGTTCTGCTCCCCACACTGTCTCTGGTGAATCCTCTCACCCCCACACCTCTGGCCTGTACCCCCGTTCTTGTATGCATAAATAAATAATTTTTTTTAACAAAAGAAGCATCTTCCTTGTAGGAAGGAAAAGACGAACAGACACATCACCAGGCTGCAGAACAGGCCTGGTTGCCAATAGAAGCCTTATCCCTCTCTGGACCCTCTCTAGCCCTGGCTGAGCGCCTCTGACACACAATTCTCCTACAGGCCACTCCTTTGCCAGCCAGACTCCCTACCCCCCCCTTGAGTCTGATTATCTGCCTCCACTGCAGCCTCAGCCTCAGCTCAAACTCCCTGCTCAGCTGCTGTGAGCACCAACCTTTCTGTACAACCAAGTTCTTCCAAGGCCCAGCGCCCAAGGCCCAGGGCTTTCCCTGGCATCTCCTCTCTCTCTCATCATTCATCTCTGCTTGGGCCAGGCCCTTTGGCACTGAGCGGTCTGGCTCCTGTCACTTGCTAATCTGTGCTGTGTAGTGAATCTTCTCTCCTCACCCATTATGTCAATTCCTGGAAAGCAGAGCTGCTAAACTAAGAAGCCACTTCCACTTTGACGGCTGCCACCCCCAGACCAGCCTTATATCAGGCACCCAGCAGCAGCTCCTCAAGGCCACGACAGGTTGGCACTTAATCTCTGCCCAAGGCCGCCCTGCTCATCCGGTTTCCTAGCGCCCATCCCCACACAGCATCCTCGCTCCAGACACTTCGCTCCTCCCACCTGTGGATTAAAATCCACCTAGACTCAGCTCAAAATTCCCAAAATGGAATTAAATCTCTTTTTTGCCTCGAGCCAACCTACTCACTTGTCCACATACACCCGTAGCCCCTGGCACACGGCCGGGAACTTATTAGATTTAGTCTGGGCCTGTCTCTCTCCCCGAGAGCACCTTGAGGAAAGGGTCCTCGCAGCCCCCCCTCAGGCCGGTGGGGGCCTGCCAGCCTAGCGCCTAATCCGAGTTTGCTGAATAGAAACGAAATAGGATGCAGAAATTCCTCAATCCAGAGCGACTGCCTGGAAACACCCTTGGACGCCCCCTCTAGGGGGCAGCTCCCTTGGCAATCAGTGTCCCCAGACGGGCGCTGCCCCGTCCCTGGCAGACACCTCCAAGCACTCGCAGGTGCCGGGAAGGCGGCGAGGCGGGCACCACAGCCTGGGCGAGCGGGCCCGGGCATCACATGATTCTCCAATCACATGATCCCTAGAAATGGGGGTGGGGTGGGGAGCGCGAGGGAGGGGGGAGAATCGAGTAGGGAAGAGCCCCAGCCTTCCTGGCTGGCCCCGCCCCTGGGTCGGCGAGTAGCCAATGGGGACGCGACGTCCCGGCCACCTGACCAATGGAAGCCGAGGTGGGCGGGCCACCGCGCGGGAGGCCCTAGTCTGCGCTGCGGGGCGCCGCTGCCGGGAGTGCGGGGCGCTGCTGCCCGGAGTGCGGGGCGCTGCTGCTGTGCGGACCCGGAGGCAGGTACCGGCGCTCGCGCAGCCTCTCCGCGCCCTGCCCAGGGCCGGCGGGGGGGCGGGGGGCTTGAGGTTCCTCTGCAGTCTCCGCCGGGAGACGGGAGAAGATTCGCCTCGAGCAACTGCTTTGGCGGTTTCCGAGGCGCGGCGGGGATTTCCCGGGGCGCGGGGCGCGGCGGTCCTTGCAGCCACCGCCGTGGGACGGGGACTCTCCACCAGATCTGGGCGCTGCCGCCTCTGCACCCAAAGCAAGGACCTCTCCCTTCTTGACCCGGCTCCCCTACCCCGCCTGGCCCCTCGTCGGCGGTGCCGGTTCTTTCCCCTTCTGGGCCGGTGCCGGTGAGCCCCCGGCGGCCGGGCCGGAGAGGCGCCCGCACCTGTCTCGGAGCTGGGAGAGTTGGGAGTGGAACTCGAGATCCCGGCATCCTGCAAGGCTGTCGGGGTTCGGAGCGGTGACTGAGCCCCCGGCGTGTCGGGCTCCCCTCTGCTTCCTCTTGGGGGGCGGGGAGGGGGACCAACTAACTTCCGCCGCTCTCGGTTCCCGGCGTACTCGCGCTGGGGTTGGCTCACCTTTTGGGAATCTTCCTCTCTGGCACTCAGGGTTGGGGGTGCCACCTAGTGGAAGATGATGGAGCTGGGGGCTTGGAGAGGCCGCCGTCCTCTCTGCTGACAGTGTGGGGTGGGGGTGGGAGAGGTTCGTTCAGAACCCTACCAAGAGGACTTGGGCTCCGCTTTCCCCCGCCCTGCTCCTGAACCTGCAGCCCTTGCCTGCCCGCCTGTGCAGTGGAAGGATGCACTCTGCTCACCCCCCTCCCCATGCCCAGGAAGGGAAATATACATGAACAAGTCACTAGGGGAGCCACATAGAGATTTCTGTTGACTTTCTGGACTAGGGCAAGGCAGCAGGACAGCCTTCAAAAAGTGGAAGCTAGAGCCCCAAGACAGATGGGACCAGCCATAGCTGCCCTCCCTGGGAGCCGTAGGCCTGGAGAGAGGGCGAAAGGGCAGCTGTCCAGACCAGCCTTCTTCATCCTTATCCGGCCAGGAGATCGTCTCTTGGGGCAGTCTTTGGGCACTGAGGAAAGCCAGCTGAGGGAAAGAGGATGTGAGTCATTGGGCGGGTGCAACCCACCTCGCCCCTCAGCACTGTCCACTGGTAGACTCCTGGGAACTGAGCCCCAGAGACAGGCTGCAGCTTTGGGGGCTCTCACAGCCAGTGGTGGCGGTTCTAGGACGAGGACCCATGTGCAGTAACCAGGAACTCCTGCACTCCCCGCTCTGTCCTGCTGACTGGTCCCCCTGCTGAAACTCAGGGCCCTATCCTCCCGGGGCTTGGGGCCCTCTCGCTGGCACTGCCTTTGGTGCCAGATGATGCCAGGATGATGACCCCTGGAACCTCAAAGCAAGTCACTGCCGTGACAATATATGACGTGGCCATGGACTTGACGTTTCTGAGCCTCAGCTCCCTCCTTTGAAAAGTGAAAGGAATAATTAATACTTTGGAAGAAGAAAGAAAATAATGCAGATTTCACACTGCATTTTTTCTTCTGGCTCCCAAGAGGCTCAACAAACCTTACTGTTTCTGCCTGTCTAGGCCGTGTTTCATGTCCCTAGCCGCCTGGCTGAGCTAGCAGAGTTGGCTGAGCTGGGGGAAGGGTTGTTTAGGAAGTGAGAGGCTCCTCTCCCCGCAGAGAGGCCTGGTTCCTTCTGCTGGGCCGGTGGGCACACGCAATCTCTTTTTGGAGTGCAGCTGGGTTGCAGCTTCTGGGCATGTTTGGGGCATCCGGCATCCGTAAAGACTGGTGGTGTGGGGAGGCCCTAGAACACAGGATCTCAAAGGCTGCCTGCGAGCCCCCCTTCCCTGGGCGGGAACGTGACAGTCAGTGGGCGGGCGGTGCTGATCTTTGGGGAGGGCAGCGGAATCCGCAGGCCACCACACTTCCCCCTCATAACTTTCTCAACCCCGTGGTTTCACATGTCATCACGTGGCCTCCCCCCCACCCCCCACCGCCTACGGGCCTTAACAGGGAGCAGGTGTGAGCCCTGCATCTCATCATCATCCTCAGGGTGAGGAGGCTGGCTGGGGAAGTGGAATCCTGGCTCTCCTTCAAGGGGGGCTGCCCCAGTCCTGTTCTCCCATAACTACTAATGCCTCTCATCCTCCCCGAAGGCGGCCCATGTCTTTATAGATTGGACCCACAAAACCCACAAGTCTTCCTGACTTTCATTTACCCACATCGCCACACCCACAGAGATGCCTGTGTTAGGCCATGTGTTGGGGACATATCCACCCGGGTGCTCATGTTAGAGTTTGAGCCCACGGGTGTACACGCTGCATGTATGACATGCTCGGGACACGTGTGGGAAGCTCCATCTCAGGTCCCACATCTTCCCACTTGGACCAGGAGGTGTTGGGGAGACTTGGGTAGTCCCGGGCCTGGGCCTGGGGAAGTGACTGGCGCCACAGCCAAGGAAGGCCTGGGCTTAAGGTGTTTGCCAAATGCCCTTTGGTATTTTGCAGGTGGACTATGTGGACCCTGGTGAGCTGGATGGCCTTGGTGGCAGGGCTGGTGGCTGGAACACAGTGCCCAGATGGTCAGCTCTGCCCAGAGGCCTGCTGCCTGGACCCAGGAGGAGCCAGCTACAGCTGCTGCAATCCCGGTCCAGTGAGTGCCCTTCGGCCTAGGTGAGAGCTGGCGAGGTGGACTGGCCAGGCTCCCGCCCTTCAGCACCCTCTCCTCTCTTCCCAGGACAAATGGCCCACAGCGCTGAGCAGGCGGCTGCGCGGGCCCTGCCAGGTGGATGCTCACTGTTCTGCCGGCTACTCCTGCATCCTCACTGTCTCGGGGACCTCCCGTTGCTGCCCGTTCCCAGAGGTGAGGGTGCTCCTCACCGGTGGAGGGGCTCGGATCTGCATTCAAACTCTCCCTGCAGACTCCCACCCCAGGTAAAAGCCTCGCCAACACAGGCGTCTCTGTCCCACAGGCCGTGGCATGCGGGGACGGCCACCACTGCTGCCCACGGGGCTTCCACTGCAGTGCTGACGGGCGCTCCTGCTTCCGGAGACCAGGTGCGCGGGGGTGGGGTGGAGGGCACATAGAGCCTGATGTGCCCAGGAACCCAGCCAGCAGGGTGACTCCAGTTCCTGCCTTCATGCCTTCATTCATGTGGCATCTGCACTCAGCCACCCACCTGCTCTGGACAGAGGGGCAGCCCTGGGGCCGGGAGGGGGCAGGAGAGCATACAAGACTCCAGGCCTGGGGTTGGGCATTCGGGGTTGGGGGAGAGCCAAATTGGGCTGGCTTAGTGCTACCCCATGGTCAGTGGATCCCCTGCCCTGGGCATAGCCTGAGGCAGGGACTGGCTCGCAGGGAGAGGGCTAGGAGTGCCTAGGTAATCACTGAGCCCCAGCCCCCTCCCCCCTTCCCACCCCCACCCCACCCCGTGCCCCACAAACCTTCACTGATTGGGTTGGTGGAATCCTGGGTCATCCTGTCCACAGATACCAAGCTTTTGGGTGCCGTCCAGTGCCCTGATAGCCAGTTCGAATGCCCCAGCTCCTCCACATGCTGCACTATGCTTGATGGCTCCTGGGGATGCTGCCCCATGCCCCAGGTAGAGGTCTGGGAAGATGGAGGCGGGGAGAGGGCCGTGGGGGCTTGAGAGGCTGGAGCGGGTGAAGGTTGAGCCAGGACCATCTCTCCCCAGGCTTCTTGCTGTGGAGACAAGGTGCACTGCTGCCCCCATGGCACCTCCTGCGACCTGGTTCAGGGCCGCTGCCTCACACCCACCGGCACCCTCCCCCTGGCGAAGAAGGTCCCCGCACAGAGGAGAAATGGGCCAGGTAAGGAGGCAGGAAATCTTCGGGTTGGGGGTTGGGAGTGCGGAGAGGCCTCACCTGGCTCTAGTTGGGAAAAATTCCCCTCCACCTGGGCTGCCACGCACGTCTCTCTCACCTTCCAGAGATCATGTGCCCCGACGGTCGCTCCCGATGCCCTGATGATTCTACCTGCTGTGAACTGTCCAGTGGGAAGTATGGCTGCTGCCCAATGCCCAATGTGAGCGAGGGCCTGTCGCCAGGGCCTCCTGTGCCCTCAGCCACCTGGCCCCATACCTTGCAGGGACCCCGGGGTTGGGGCAGCCGGCTGCTTGCTGTGGACTCCTGTCACCCCCTAGTGGGGGACTGGGGCAGTGCCAGCCATGGGCCTGGCTGCTCCTGGAGCGCCACTGAGACTGGAAGTCACCAAGACCCACCGCTGTCCCCACCCAGGCCATCTGCTGTTCCGACCACCTGCACTGCTGCCCCCAGGACACCGTGTGCGACCTGATCCAGAGTAAGTGCCTCTCCAAGGACAACGCTACGGACCTGCTCACCAAGCTGCCCGCACACACAGGTACCCAGGGAGGCCCCGGGCCCGTTCCACCTATATGGTGAGGAATAGCTACCCACGCTATTCCAGGGCAGGTATGGGGGTGGGAGACTGAGGGCGTTTGGAGAGGCCAGGGCAGGTGCAGCACCCTTTCTTCCACACTGGGCCTCGCCATCGGATCGTTGCCAAGGTCGCCTCCATCCTTAGTGGCGTCCAGTTCCAACTGTGGAACCGGCCAGGGGTGGCACCTCCGAGGCCCCCAGTGTCACTGCTGACCTGTCCCCACTGCTGTCCTCACAGTGCAGGAGGTGAAGTGTGACATGGAGGTCAGCTGCCCAGACGACTACACCTGCTGCCGCCTGCAGACGGGGGCCTGGGGCTGCTGCCCTTTTGTCCAGGTACTGGGGTGGGGCTAGGCAGGGTGAGCAGGGGGTGGCAGCCAGCTCGGCCCCTTGTCCACCATCCCCTCTCGCTCCCCCCAGGCTGTGTGCTGTGAGGACCATGTGCACTGCTGCCCGGAAGGGTATCGGTGTAACACAGGAAAGGGGACCTGTGAACAGGGGCCCCGCCAGGTGCCCTGGATGGAGCAGGCCCCAGCCCGCCTCAGCCTGTCATCCCCCCGCGCCGTGGAGAGCGATGTCCCCTGTGATAATGTCACCAGCTGTCCCTCTGAACATACCTGCTGTCGACTCGTGACTGGGGCATGGGGCTGCTGTCCTGCCCCAGAGGTGCATGGGGGATAGCGGTGCGGGGTGCTTGCCCTGAGGGGGTGGCCAGACTCCATAGTCTGGGGCAGTGTACCCCTCTGCACATTCCTTCCCAGCTGGAAGAGCCTCAGCGGGAGGGGACTGTGGGGTCCCTCCCATGCAGTACCCCCCATATCACCCTTCTCTGCTGCCGCAGGCTGTCTGCTGCTCAGACCACCAGCACTGCTGCCCCCACGGCTACAAGTGCACGGCCCGGGGGGAGTGTCAGATGGGGGACAAGGTAGTGACCGGACTAAAGAAGGTGCCCACCCGCCAGGCCTCCCCGCCCCTCCCCAGAGACATGGGCTGCGACCAGCACACCAGCTGCCCAGTGGGACAGACCTGCTGCCCCAGCCTGAGTGGGGGCTGGGCCTGCTGCCAGTTGCCCCACGTAAGTGTCCTCTGCCTGCTCTGGGAGCCGGGAATGAAGTTGAGGAGGGCGGCAAGAGTGCCATGCTGCCCTGTGCCCCCAGGCCGTGTGCTGCGAGGACCGTCAGCATTGCTGCCCGGCCGGGTACACCTGCAATGTGAAGGCCCGATCCTGCGAGAAGGATGGCGACGCGACCCAGCCCACCGCCCGCCTGGTGCGCGGTCCACACCTGGGGAACGTGGAGTGTGAGCCGCGTCGCTTCTGCCACGACAACCAGACCTGCTGCCAGGACAGTGCTGGGGGCTGGGCCTGCTGTCCCTATCCCCAGGTCAGTGCCACCCCGACCCGGGCTGGGGCTGGGCATGGGTCCCGCCCTGCTGGGTCTGACACACCCCCTCTGACCGCCCAGGGCGTCTGCTGTCGGGATCGGCACCACTGCTGCCCTGCTGGCTACCGCTGTGGGGCCGGGGGCATCAAATGTTTGCGCCGGGAGGCCTTGCGCTGGGACACCCCTTCGAGGGACACAGCCCCGAGACAGCTGCTGTGAGGAGGGACTGAGGACTGAAGATACTCTGCAGCCTCGAGACCCTGACACCTGGCTCAGAGGGTGCCCACTGCTCAGGCCTCCCCAGTACCTCTGCCCCACCAGATTCTCCTGGATCGCTCCATTCTGAGTCCCCCCACTACAGTGGATGGTGGGGCCTCTATCTAAGGCCTCCCTGTCAGAAGGGGGGCTGTGGCAAGAGCCACATCACGAGCTGCCATCACCCTCTCTCCCAGTTTCTGTGGACCTGTGGCCAGGTGCTCTTCCCTCTCCACAGGTGTGTGTGTGTGTGCGCGCTCCAGTAAAGTTTGTACACTTTCCTAACAGCGTCTGATTTGGCAGGCCTGCCTGCCCTGCCCTCCCCTCCCCAGGGACACCCCACCCCACCCCACAGAGCCTCCTGCCCACAGACAGACACACAGAGTTCCTCTCACCAGTTTTATATTTGCTGTTGCCCACAGCAACCCCTCACATGATCCCCTAGTCCCCAGAGCCGCCCCCGCCACCAGCCCTGTGACAGCTTAGCCCAGAGGTGGGCTAGTCAGCAAGCAGCACCCCGCCCCTCCCAGGGGTCCTCAGAGAATGCCCCTCCCTCTCCAGCCCTCACACTAGCAGCTGAGGCCCGGCTGCCCCTCCTGCCTTCCCACAACAGAGCTTTCTATGTACAGCCCCGTCATACAGGCACTGCTTCCCCCCCCCAGCCCTCCTCCCCAGCACCTCCCAAGGGGGGTTTGGCCCCCGCCCGCCGCCCTGGAGGCAGACTGGGGGTCCCTCCCGACATTACCCAGCATAGGCTGCTGGACAGCCCTGCAGGCCCGCAGGCGCCTCTCCAGGAGTGGGGCGGGGCTAAGAGCGGCCCCCGCGGTCCCGGGGCGCGCGCACCCCGGGCGGAGCGGGCGGGGCCGCCGCGCGGAGGCGCTACTTGACGTTGAACACCATGAGCGGCCGCTCCTCCCGCCGCTGCCAGGGGCTCTTCTTGTCGCCCGCCTCGTCGCCCGCCTCCGCCCCCAGCTCGTCCTCGGGGCTGGTGAGCGAGTCGCGCCGCAGCTCGCTGGCGCTGCTGCGGGAACTGTCCCCGCGGCTGCGGCCGCGCCCCCGGGGTACCGTGGCGGCCCGGCCCTCGGGCGCCGCCACCTCGTCCAGCAGCGGCGTCAGCGAGTTGTCCTCCGGCGAGCAGAGGCCCGTGCGGCTCTCGCTGCTGCTCGGCTCCGTGTCCTCGCTGAGCGCCAGGCGCGGGGGCGCGGGCGGCGGCGGGGGCGGGGCGGCCGTCGGGGCGCGCTCCCGCTCCTCCCGCAGGGGCCGCCGGCGCGCGGGCCGCGCCTCGTGCACGTCGACGCCCGAGTCCAGGCTGGCGTCGGTGCTGCGGCCGCCGCCGCCCGCCTGCAGGTCGATGTAGGAGTGGCGCACCTGCGAGTTGGAGCGGCCGTCCAGGGACACGAACCAGGCGCGCGGGTGCGGCTTCACGCCCAGTTCCAGCAGCTTCTTCTCGGTCAGCGCCTGCAGCTCGCCGTTGAGCTGCGCCATGGTGGACTCGTTGAACAGCACCGGGATGGTCACGGAGCCGCTGACCGGGGCCGAGCGCCCGCCCCCCAGCCCTCGCCGCCGCCCGCCTCGCCCCCCGCGCCCGAGTGGCCCGGCATCAGCGGGCGCTGGGGGTCGGGCTGCGGGAAGGGGCGCCCGGGCCCGGGGGCGGCCCCCTCCGACGGGGTGGGGTCATCGCCGGCCCCCGCGGCGCCGGCCTCGCCGCCGAGGCGCACGTAGTGGGCGGGGATGACCAGGGTGGGCATGACGTTGCGGTAGACACTGTCCTTGAGGTGGTCGATGGAGCCGCAGAAGATGAGCTGCCCGGGCTGGCTGAGGGACGGCGGCCGCGACAGCTGGTCCACCGACTGCGACAGCAGGAAGTCGGGGGTCTTGCTCTCGGCCGCCCCCTTGTGGCCCAGGTAGTGCTCGAAGGGCGCAGGCGGCGAGGGCGGCTCGTGCAGGAAGGCCGCGGCCCCCGACGGCGCCCGCCGGTACTCCTCCAGGCCCGGCTCCAGCCCGCCCGGGCCCTCCATGGACCGCGCGCCCTTCAGCGCCGCGCCCTCGCCCCCGCGGGCGCCCGCGGGCTCGGCGACCTGGCGGCTGGCAGAGCGCGGCTTGGCGCGGAAGAAGTCGTCGCGGGAGGAGGCCAAGTCCCGGGAGCTGGAGAAAGCCGAGTGCAGGGGGCCCGGAGGTGGCGCCTCGGGGTCCCCGGTCGGGGCGGGCTCCAGGGGTCCCCCACAGATGAGGTGAAGCTGGGACATCGAGGTGGCCTGGTCTCGTTTGTTGCCGTCGGAGGGCCCGGAGAGCTGCAGCTTGCGGTGCTGTTGCCTGGGCTTCAGGCAGCGTCTCCTAGAGAGGAGGGGCAGACAGGGGCCCTCAGGAGAGAGTGCGCCCCAGAAGCACCCTGATGCCCATTCCCTCGCCCCCCTCCAAGGTGCATGGTCGGAGCTGGGTATAGTTGGACAGATGAGAATGCCTGGCACTCAGGAGAAATGCTGGGCGCTGGCAGAGGTTTGGGGGAGAGCTTGAGAGGCTGTGGAGGAGCCGTCAGCGACTGTGCCGGCTGGTGTGCTCGCGGTCAGGTGCAGGAGAAGCTGGGAGGAGCACCCAAGCCAACCGGGGCAGGTCTGGCCTGAGGTCCCCCGGAAGGGAGAGGCAGGCTGGTCGGGGCAGCTGCAGACTATCTAGGAGGGGCCTGGCCTGCAGGGCCTGCCCCCTCCTCCCCCACCTGTCTTAATCCACATCCTGCAGGTGCAGTGCGGAGCTTTCCGTGAGGATCAGAACCATGTTTTATGCATTTGGGGGGCTGGTCGCCCAACTCAAGACCAGGCATAGAACTGGCCTTAGTCTGGACCTGGGATGAGAGAGGAGGTTGGGGGCAGAGGGCTGGCACCAGGGACTGGGGGATGGCCAGACCCCAGCGTACTCACCGGCAGTAGTAGATGAGCAGACACAGCAGAATGAGCACCAGCAGGGCCAGGGCTGCCAGGATGGTGAGCAGGAAGATGGTATGGTAGGTGCCAATGTCCTGGATGCCCGACGTGATGGTAACCAGCCCTGTGCCAGGCAAGGGCTTAGCCTTCCAGGTATGGGTGAACGTCCTGCCTTCCAGAAGATGTCCACTCTCCCAGCCTCCCCTCCCACCACTGCCCCTTGCCCCCACTGTCCTGCCAATCTCACCAGTCGTGGGGGAGGCCATGGCAGCTGCCCAGTACCCCAGCTGGGGGGAGGTGAAGGTCCAGTAGAGCTGTCGGCCTTCCTTCCGGATTACACCTGTGCCATTGCGTACCCACAGTCCTGCGAGAGCAGGGGTTTTATCAAACTTAGTGTTCCCCCATCTGAGTCCCACTTTCCCCCACCAAATCCCAGCACCTGTCACCCCAAGGCACTCACCAGTCTTGGGGTCAAACCTCCAGGCTGGAATGCTGGTGCCCACAGTAAGGGCACGAGTCTCTGAGGGCACGGGCAGGGATAGATGAATGGGGCCCGAAAGTGGCACCTCTGTTCCGTTGCCCGTCAGCAGGTGCACGCTCACAGCAGCCAGGGGCATCAGCTCCAGCCAGGAGCCATTGCCTGGAGGAAGGGGACACAGGGCTGAGGGCCAGATCCTGCTGGGGAGCAGCCCCTCTGTGCCTGGCACCCAGCATACCTGAGCTGGACGCCTCGGTGCCCAGGAAGGCAGGGAAAGCCCGCATCTCCTGCTGGGTGCTGGCAGGAGTGAGCGAGGCCCAGAGCTGGCTGTAGGTGGAGCTGACCGGCAGGCGGGCAGCCCGACGCTGGAACTGCACCCAGGGCTGTGAGCGGGCACCTGGATGGAGAGAGGGGCTGCAGTGGCCTGGAGAGGGACAAGGTGCCCCAGGACCAAAACACAAAACAATGATCTAGGGAGAAGGGAAGGCCAGGGAGGGTGGTGATTTGGGGAGCAAACTGGGCAGTTGTAGCGTGTTAGCCCGGAGGGGACAGGGACCCGAAGTTACTCCTGGCGGTGGGACTCTGAGCAAGACACGTGCTCTCTCTGAAACACTTTCTTCGTTAACCTCTGAAACTGTGAGGTGCAAATGCCTGGCAGGCTCTGTGTTAGCTGCTGGGGATACGAAGATGAATAAGGCACAGTTCAGAATTTCCTGCCCCCAAATTCACAGTCATGCAGTGCCACCATTATGGCACCCACACAACTTCCTGCTGCCAGCTGCTGGATGGAGCTGTTCTGTGCCTGTGCTGCCTGTTACGGCACCCGCAGCACCCGCGGCTGCTGAGCACGTACCATGTGGCTAGTGTCACCGAGGAGGTGGTTTATTTTTGATTAACAAATTTTATTTAAATTTAAATAGCCACATGTGGCCAGTGGCTACTGCAGTAGACAGATGTGGCCGTGTGTGTGTGTGTGTGTGTGTGTGTGTGTGTGTGTAGAGTGGAGGGGACATAGAAACAATTCCAGTACACTATGGCAGTAGCTACCATTTATTAAGCTTTAACATCCACTGGGCACTGCACTATGCAGGTTGCCCATCTCAACCCCTGCAATTAGTCCATAGCCCTTGAGGGAGGTGCCTTTATTATGAACCCCTTTTTCTTTTTTCCTCCAGCTCCCTCCCCACCACCCCTTCTCACCATCATTAACCCCATTTCACAGATGCAGAAGAAGAGGCAGGACAAGTTCAGTAACTTGCCCAAAGTCACAATCCTGGATCTGGCTGACGTCCAGGATATGGTGCCAGGGCCCACCCTCTTACCCACCATTCCTTGCTGCTGAAATAGAGGGTGCAGGGTGGAAGGAGCTTGACCCACACAGTTCAGCAAGGCCTAGTGGAGCCTTGAAGGATGAGTAAGACAGCGTGGAAAGGGACTCCTGGGAGGCCCACCACGAGGAGGTGCGGAGGCGTGCGGCACGCTGCTCAGGGACGCCAGGGGACCGATGGGAGGCGAGCAAGGCGCCAGTCGTCAGGTCCCCTAGGGAGCTGTCACCTTTGCGAAGGAGTCTGGACTTTAAACTGAAAGCAGCGGGGGTCGGAGGAGGGCTTGAAGCTAGGGGGCAACACTGGCATGTTAGAAACCGCCACAGGCATTTTAGAAGCCTCCGATGCAGGGACAGAGTGAAGAGGAGCACATAAGAGTAATTTGGGAACAAGGGCTCAAGCTAAGAATAAAAATAGGCAAGGAGGTTCTCCCATTCCAGAACCCGCTGTGGCTCCCTAGTATTAGCCTGAAGGAGCCTCCCCTCTGCCTGGCTCATCAACCAGGCCACACCAGGCCCCCTTCTTACAGAGACAGACGAAAGCATGGCCTAGGCCCTCACTCGCCCCTTCTGCCCCTGCATCTTGATTTCTCTTGTGGACATGCATCTGCTCCCCCTTCAGCTCCCGAGCCCACCCAGTCCCACAGCTGCCTCCACCAAATTCTCTAGCCCTGCTACGCCGCAGGTGAGGGTTTTCTCCATTCTGAGTGAGGCCACCCTCCACTCCACGGCACTTCTGCCCTGTCTTGATTTCAGGGTTTGCAGTGATCAGTCTGTCGGTCTTCCTTCCCGGGCGCCCTGGCACAGACAGGGCCTGTGGCCTGAAAGCCAGTTGGCAGACAGCGGCCGCTGTGGAGACTCTAGCCCGCTCTGGGTGGGTGCGCAGGACCTGTGCCGGCACCCTCTCGTGGCCTTTAACGAGCCAGGCACCCAGGACATGCCCAGAAGCACGTGTCGACCCACTGACGATAAAGGTGGCAGGGAGTGGGGATTCTCACGGTCGGTGGGAGTTGAGGGAGAATAGAAAGCAGGAGAAGCCCCATTAACAATAAATGTTTATTGACCACCTGGGCTGCTTCTGGCCTGCGTGATGATATTTAACCCTTACCTCCACTTGAGGTGGATACTGAATATAGCCACATCGTCCAGATGCGTCAACTAGGGCTCAGAGAGGTTAAGTGACTTCCCCAAGGGCACCCAGTAAAGCTCTTTATAGTCAGGTGGGGGGTATGGGGGGAGGAAGAGGAGCTGGCATGGGGGGAGGGGGCCTTACCGGGAGAGCCCAAGAGGATGTGCACGAGGTCCTCATAGAGGATGAGGGTGGCCGGCCGCTCGGGAAGCAGGTAGAGGCTCACCGACGCGTACACTGTGGGAGGGGGGCCAGGTCAGCTCCAGAGAAAGCCCCCAGTCAAGGCTGGGCACTCCCTCTCTCTGAATCCCAGTGACTTCACCCTCCTCGGCCCCTTCTGCATACCCCAGCCCAGGCAGCAGCTGCTGGGAATCCTGCCTCCTCCGCCCCCACGACTATTTTGGGAAGGGGCTAATGGGGGTCAGCTGCTCCCCTCCCTCCACCTGCCCCTGCACTCACAGGGCAGCTTGTCAACACGCCAGGGCACAGAGTTGGTGAGGAAGCCGGGCCGGGCTGCGGTGACCAGTACCCAGGTGCCCAAGCGGTAACTGAGGGGCAGTGTGGCCACACCCTCTGAGTCCGTGGTGCCCGCGGCCAGCAGCATCCGGTTACCAAATACATCCACTGAGGCTCGGGCCAAGGGCACCAGCTCCCCGCTCACGTAGACCTGCACCTTGATCAGGATCTCTGTGGGCAAGACGGGTTAGGAGAGTGAGGAGGGAGAGGGGAAGAGAGAATCGGGGCCCCTGAGATCAGAGGGGGGCAGCTCGGAGGGAGGTCAGCCAAGGCGTTCTAAGCAGCAGCATTTACAGAGCCCCCAGCTAGACCTCCCGGCAGCCCGTGGGAGGCGCTCGTTCCCACTCCGTCAAGGCCAGCGCTTACCCACTTCTTAACACTTCTGAACTCAGGCGGGGCTGCGCAGGATGAGCCCACGATTGGATGATTAGCAGCATTTTTCTTCTTTCTCACTGGTCCATGAAACAAGGGTGCAACTTACGGTCTGAGTATTCGACTTGATAAAATAGGCTCTTGGCCCATTTGACAGATAAAGAAACGGAGGCTCAAAGAGTTTCGAGCCTTGCACTGCAGCTGAGTGGGAAGTTTGGGGTCCACACCTAGAGTTTGCCTCTAGATCGCAATTCCCACGCCCCGGACCCTATGGGGTTGTTGTCAGGGACAGGAAAGGGAAGGGGCCGGGGAAGGATGACTAAGTGGACAACCCCGCAACCGGAGAGGAGCGAGGTCAGGATTCTGCCATTTGGAAGGGAGGGTGGGGAAGGGGCTGAGTCAGAGTTTGAATTTCCAGGAAAAAACTAAGAAGAGGACACTAGGGAACTGGTCCTTCCATCACAATCCTCTTTCCCTCTTTCCAGAAGGTTTTGCACAAACCTATTTTCCCTCCAGATTTAGGGATTCATCGCAACCGCTAAGACCAAACAAGTAGGCCTGACCCCTCCCCCTCCCTTGTACCTCCCACCCCCTCCCAGCTGGTCAGCAACAGTCAGTCACCATGGCAACGCCCTCATTACTCCCAAGAGATGGGCAGGGAGTTGGGGCCCTGCCAAGGGGGAGGAGATGGAGGGGTGGGGCAGGGGTTGCCCGACCTAGGTCCAAGGGAAACTGGTGTAGAAGGAGTCGGGAAGAGAGGTCCCAGTCCTTCGCCTCCCGGTCACTTGGGTCCCGGCCCACGAGAGTCAGCCGGTGGGCCTGCAGGCGCCCTGAGCTCAGAGGAGATGACAGGGCAGGAACCAGGCCTGGAGTTGTTCTCATGGATTCCCTGGGGCAGCCTCTTCTCTGATCCATGGGACCGACTCATTGTGGCCCCTCCCTCAGCCTCTTGCCTCACTCCTACCCTGCTGCTAATACGGGAGGTGTCATCTCTGGAAAGGTACAGAGGCCTCAGTGGGGGAGCCAGGAGGCAGGTGGGGAATGCTCTGGTGCTGAACACAAACCTAGGGCCATCCAGGTACCGAAGGAAGAGTCGAGAGCTGAGAGTTAACGGGATGGGGAAGGCAGGGGGCCTCACAAGTGGAGCCTGACACTCAGCAGTGACAGGTGTCTTATCTCAGGCTTCCAACCCCAGCGCCAGCGCCACGCCTGCCCCTGGCATCCCTTCCAGCTGTTCTCCTGCGCCCACCTCCTCCCCTCCCAGGCCAGAGCGCCCCTGCAGGGTGGGTGTGCACACTCAGCCCTTCCCTGCTCGCTGGTCCTCCCAGGAGCTGGTGCCTCCCCACCCTCCACCACCACACAGCAGGAATTCCGAGAAGTTAAAGAGGCCTGGCTGCTCCCCACCCCTACCCCAGGCTAGGAGCAGCTGGATGGAGGGGCTGGAGGAGGGTACCCAGAAGTCTGGAATATCGTCATTCGAGGGTTCAAGGCCCAGAGCCTCAGAAAAGGGGCAAGGATCCCAGGAACTATACAGGGGAGATGCCTGGAGAAGGCATCAGTGACAAGCTGGGGGGCAGGGGGGGAGGCAGGTGCCTAGCAGATTCCCTGCCCCCTTCCTCTGAACCCGGGCTGCCTGCCAGCGGCTGGGAGAGCCCCCTAGCCTGGCTCTAGTCCAGCCAACTCCCTGGGCCCCTCCCCTGGGGCACAGGACTAGAGGGAGAGGTTTCCTGAGAAACTCGGGCCTCTTCCCACCAACCTAAGCCTCCCTCCTGCAAAAATCAGGGAAGACGGAGGCCTGAGGACATCCTTCCCCGTTCCTCAACGCCTGACGCTCCCTACAGCATCCGCCTCCCAGGCGTCAGCCCGGCCTCATTCCAGGCGGAAATCCGACCCCCCTCCCTTCATCCGGACCCCGCTTCCCTCGTCCACACTCCCCACCCTGCTTTTCCTGCCAGCTCCTTGGTGGAGAGGTGAGGAGCGCAGAGGTTTCAGGCAGGGGTGAGGCTGGGGGCGGGAGGGGGCGGTGGCCGGGGTGGGGGGCAGGCGGCGGGCGTGAGTGTGGAGGCCCCAGGGAGCTCCCGTCCCGCGGGGAGCCCCGGTCGGGGTCTCCCACCCTCTCGCCGCAGGATGAGACCCCACCCCCACTCACACGCCCACCCGGACCCGGGAGGCCCTGGAGGGTCTCCCCCACTGCGATCGAGGTGAGACGAGGAGGGGGCGCCCCGAGGTGGGCTGGGGACACAGGTGGCCAGCAGCCGGCTGGACAGAGCCCCAGACACCTGCCCTCGCGGTCAGCACCGCCCGCAGCCCCTCGCCAGCCCAGCATGGCTCCCCCACAGCCGCGCCACGCGCCCGGAGCTGGAGTCACAATGCACCCCCGTTCCCAGAGCCCCCTCCACGGCAGCCCCTCCTCCCTCGCGGGCTGATTCGCGTTTCTTCGGTGCACCCCAAAATCTGAACGGGGAGGGGCACAGCGGGGGGGCTGTCAAGCTCCAAGGCGGAGAACCCCGTCGGGGCAGCCGGTCCGCCCACAGCCTCACCCCCTCCCCGCCTCCCTTCCCCCTTCGGCCCCGGCTCCGGGCGCCCAGCCCCCGGCCGGCCCGGGGTGGCAGCCGCGCCCGTCGCCCCCACCCAGCCGGGGTCTGGCGCGCGGAACCCGCGGGGGGCTGCGGAGCGGCGCCCGCCCCAGCCCGCCCCTGGGCGGGTGTCTCCGGCAGACAATGGCTCAGGCGGCGGCGCCGCGCGGACCCGGAGGGAGAAAAACAAGGCAGGAGCGGGCGGCGGCGCGGAGCCCCGGGACCCCCCCCGCCCCATTGTGTCTCCCCGAGACCCCCGCCCGGAGGCGCCCCTCGCTCTGCTCTCCCCGGCCAGCGCCGACCCCGGCTCGCCCGGCTCCCCCCACCCACATCCAGGGACGAGAACCCCCAAATCGCGAGCGCCGCGCACAGGGGGCTGCGGGAGGGGCCCGATGGGGAGGCGCAGGCTCACGGCTGCCGCCCCTCCAGGCCGAGACTCACCCTGCGGGCTGGGGGGCTCCGGCGGCGACTTGCCGGGAGCCCGGGAGGCGCCGCCGAGCAGCAACCCCAGCAGCGGCAGGAGCCGCGCGAGGACGCTGGGGCCATTGGGCGGCGGCATCGCGGGGCTCGGCCCGGCCCTAGCGGCCCATGGCACCCGCCCGGCCGCGCTCGGCGCGCCCCGCTCGGCCCCAGCTCCGCGCCGCGCCGCCTGGGCTCCCGCTCCGGCTGCGGCGGCCGCTCGGCGCGATTGTCTCCGCCCGGAGCCGCGGCGAGCGCCCCCTGCCGGCGCCGCCGCACCCCGGGGCCTCGGGCACCGCCCCCTCGGCGCCCGCGCCCGCCCGCGGCCGGCTCGCAGCCCACCCTCCGCCCCGCCCGCGACCCCGACCCCGGACTGCGGGGCGAGCAGCCACAGCGGCCGGTCACCCCGGGCCTAGGCCTCCAGGGCCCCCAAAACTTGCTGCAGAATTTTTGGGGAGGAGAATGGCCCTTATTGACGACACGCACCCTGGGTGCGGAAGGGTCACGAGTGTGTCCGGATAATGTAAGAGCTGCTCGGTCTTCTGCACAAACACCCGCACCCCCATATTGGGGAGGGAGCGGGTGGCCCCCTGGGGAATCAGTCAGGAGGGGTTCTTGTCTCGCTTCTCCCTCTTAGTCAGCCGAGAGCAAGTCCCACCGCCTCAGGTCCCTCTCGTCGTCTTGGCTGCTTTCAAGGGGAGACTGTAGTGACACGCTCACCCATCCGGCGGTTGTGAAAATTAGATGAGATGATGCGAAGGGTCTAGCACAGGCCTGCCAAGAGCAGGGGACCAACAGACGGTGCCATCGTGGGCTCAGGCAATGAGGTCCATTGCTGGGCAGGCATGATGCTGAGGAAACCCTTCTGGAGAGGCACCGGCCCTTCTCTCCCGCTGAGAAGCCCCAGCTGGCCCCACTGGTTCTGGTCTGTGAATGGCAAGCCCGGTCCTTTTCTTTCTCCTCAGTCATTGAACCCCACATCTGAGGACAGTTATTGCTCTGCTCTTGCCCCAGTCAAACTCTGTTTTCTTCCAGGTTCTGGTTGTCGTCATCTCTCAGCTTCTGAGTGTCCAAATCCTTGTCTAATCTGCACCCCCTCCCGGGTCTCTCACATTGTGGCACCAGGAGGGAGGGCGTTGCTTCCCGAGGACAGGGGCCTCGGCCCTTAGAGTCACAGCAGGCTGAGCTCCCGGCTGAGTTCCCTGGCTGGGTCTTCTGACTCTAGGGGACCTTACTATGGTTTTTTTTTTTTAATTTTATTTTTTATTTAAATTTTATTTTTATATTCCCCATATAATTACAATAGGGGACCTTATTATGAATTTTGGGGGGAGAGACAAAACCACCAGATTCCTCCCTCCCTCCCTTCCCTCTCCCTCCCTCCTCCTCGCTCCCCTTCTCTCTTTCTCATAAATTTCCATCTCACCAGACAGCCCAGTCCAATTCTTATGTAACCAATTTTTTGGAACCTCAGCACAGGATTTAGCGCTCATCCCTGGTGAATTTTATCCTGTTGGTTTCAACCCAACTTTACAATCTGTCAAGACTGCCGTGAATCTGCTTCAGTCCCCATCCTACCCGCGCTCCCTGTCAGTCAGCAGCGGTCTGTAGGGTGAAGACCAGCTTCCTCTGCCTCCACTCAAGGGGCTTGTGACAAAACTGGGCAGCCCAGGGCCAAGATGGGGCTTTGAGACACCCTCACAGAGATCTGCAGCTTTATCAAATTGGTTCAGCTTTAAATCCGAGTCTCTATCCTGCCGCTCACATTTCTGTCATGTCTAGAAGGACAAGTGCCAAAGGCTTTGCTGGATCAAGAGAAATCATCTGGGGCCATCCAAATGCAACGGTGCAGGGGGATGGAGTTTGGCTGGTGTTCAAAGAAGGCAGCTTAATCTTTTCCTAAATGTTCAGTCACCCAACTCAAAACCTGTTCTGGAACTTGCCAAACATGGATGTCACATCGTTCTGTTCTCAGGATTTCCTTTTACCCCTTTGGGTAAAATCAAATACCAGCAGCTCCTGTGAGATCCGTCCATCACTGCCTTCTCCCAGCTCTTACTTTCCAGTCCAAAGTCTTGCCGTGACCACAAGGTGCTTCCTGCCCACAAGGTGCTTCCTGCCCAGCCCCTCCTCCGGCTCATCTCCTGGCGCTCACCTATCACAGGAGGGCTGCGAGCCACGGCCTCCTTGATTTTGGTTGAACGTGGCAGGCCTGCTCCCACTTTCACTGGCTGCTCCTTCCATGCAGACGCTCGGTTCTCTTGCAGTCACTCGGCTCATCCATTCATGTCTCCCCCCACCTCAACAGAGCAGCCTCCCTGCCCCTCCACCTAGGCCTCCCAACACCCGCACCCATCCATCACTACCCTCCTGCCTTTTGTATTTTTTTTTTGAGTTATACGTTTTACTTTATTTAAATTTTTGAGAGTTGCATATTTTACTTTATTTTTACTTACCTTTATCTTCACTCACTGCAGGGCCCACCACTGGCCATGCGTGTCCTTATTTCTCGTATGTTCCATGAGGAATAGATAGTTTCCCAGCACGGGAACAGCTCCAGGCTTGTGGAGGAGCTCAATAAACATTTACTAAACATGGGAATCCTCAGAGCTCTCAGGCGCCAGGTGGGGACCCCCTACTTCTGTCCTGGCTCCAGTCTCAGCTGTGGGAGGGCTGTCTTCCACTCGCAGCCCTCCTGCGGGCCGCTCCCCACCTGTGCCCTCTTTCCTGACTGAAGACCACGTGGTGGGCAGAAGGGATCGCAGCAGAGTAGCCAGGGGCCATCCAAATGGCCAGGCCGCAGTGCCCACTGCCCTCGCCTGCTGAGGTACAGCTTCCCCAGGCGGAGGGCTCATCCAGCCTCTATTTGCCCTTTTCGCTGCAAGCACAGCTTTTTTAATGAGTGAGTGAGCAGAGCATGTTATTTCCCCAAATCTCATGGCATCCTGAGGTTTATTCCTCCAAAATTTGGAAAAAATTACTGTCTAAAGCTGCCCACCAGCGACCTAGCCCATTCCCTGACATTCCCAGCCCCACCTCACCCACACACCCTTGTGTCATCTGGAGGCTCTGCCACCCTCTCCCTCGTTACACCCCCACTTTCTACTCCTGACACTCCCCAAGACAGCCACTTGCAACCTTTGCAGAGTCTCCCTGCTCACACCCGCTCACAGCCCTCGATCCCCGCTCCAAATGGTACTTGACTTCCGTCTGTCTCTCCTCCTTTGGCCCCAAGAGGAGGCAGCAGCCAGAGTGTGGGGTTCAGTCGCTTTATTAAGCACCTGGTAAGAGGGTGGCCCACTCTGTTGGGAGGGTGAGGGCATCAGGAGGCATCCATGGATCACGAGGGGCAGGGCAGCCCGTGGCCTTCTGGAAGGACAGATGTGGCTGCACCTCACTCCTCTTCATCTTCGTCTTCCAGGGGTGGCCGGTTCCGCTTGAAGAAGCCAGCCTGGGGGTGCACAGGGCCAGAGACAGGACATAAAGGTGATGCTCAGGCTCCAGAGCACTCATGGAATAAGTCTACTAGAAACCAGGCAGCCACGGGTCCTCCCCGTGGACCTCGGCCCACTGCCGGCACAAAGGCAGGCCTTTCCCACGGAGAGATAATGCGTGGAACAAGGGTTTTGTTTTTTAATTTCTGGTTTTTCTCCCATGAATTTTTCTTTGTTAAATCTCCTCTTGCCCCCCTCCTGCCCCATATTTCCCTTAAATACTTTCATGCCTCTGTGACTGAAGTGCGTGATATGTGTCTCTCCCGAGTCTACTGCGTGGGTTTCTGCAAACACACCCTGGCTTCCCACAGCTCTGTGCTTGGTTGAGTTTGAGAGGCCCACTTGCCCTCCAGGTGCTGAGGAGGGAGTGGCCCCCAGGGCTCATAGAAACAGGAGCAGGGCCTGATTAGACCTGGGTCTCCACCTCAGGGGAGAGGATCCTGAGGAGGTCAACTCTGTCCTCCTCAGGAAGTTCCTGAGGGCAGGACTCAGGTCCTGTGACTTCCTCTCAGTGGGGTAAAGAGTCTAAAAGCTTTAGGGCCTCCCCTGGTGGCGCAGCGGTTGAGCGCTGGGCTGCGAGGCTGCCACAGCCTCTGCAGCCCGGGTTGGTTCCGGCCGCCGGGGCGAGGGTCCCACACACAAAAAAAAAGAGTCTAAAAGCTTTAAAGCCCGTAACGTGTCCCAGAAGTCTGCGGCCTGGAAGTCCCTCTGGAAAATGACATTCTAGTGGTGATACAGATGTGTCAAAGGCCAGGTCTTTGTCCACCTGGGGACCCCACCGCCCCCCTCACGCCTCACCTTCCACATGGCCAGGATCAGGAGCGTGAGCAGCAGCAGGCCGCCCAGCACGCCTACCAGCACCCACCAGAGTGGAACGTCCCTCTCCTCCAAGGCCCGGAGCAGCTGCGTCTGCACCTGAAGGCAAACCCGGTATCGCCTCTACCTTTTCCCCAAGACTCAAATCTGCCGGCTGATGACCCTCCAGCGGGTTACCTACCTGTCCCACCCCTCAGACTCTGGGAAGCCCGCCCCATGCTGCTGGGCACAGACTCAGGGGAAGGCCAAAGGGCCAGGTGCAACTCATTTCCTCAGCCTCCGTTTCCCCACACTCACCAGAGCTTCCCCTCTGGGCAGGCTGAGGGCTGGCACCGGGTAGGGAAGGGAGGAGACGTTGAACCAGGCACGTGACTGCAGCACAAACTGATCCAGGGGTCTCTGGACGGGGTGGGGATGAAAGCTACCAATGCAACGCCTACTGGTTGCAGGAGCCTAAGGCCCAGATACCCCACCCCCAGCAGCCCGGCCCCCAGGTTAGTCCTGTTGTCCCCCCCAAAGTAAACCTTGCCCTCACTCTCCTTCCAACTGCTGGAGCCCCACCATTCCCCAGAGTAAACTGGGTCCCCGCCTCTGGAAGGCCCCGACCACCTGAGAGGCCCACCTGGCGGAGGCTGGGCAGCCACAGCAGTGCCAGCACCGTGACCATCACCCGCTGCCCCCGCGCCATCTCCGCGAGCTCACACTGCACCACAGTACAGGGCGCCGAGTCACAGCTCTGAGGGGACACGGACGTCATTAGTCCCCTCCTGGTTACAGCCCCTCCTGGTCATCAGCCCCTCACCCCGAGAACCCAACATACAGGGGGTCAGGGGTCAGGGAACTCGGGTCTCCCCCTCAGCAAGGACCTCAGATTCAGGCTTCAAGCATGATCTCTGAGTGGGGCTGTTCCCACAGTCCGAGAGAGGCAGGGAGAGGGCGGGAGAATGGGTCACCGCACCGCCGTTCAGCACTCAGAATTGGTATAACTCGGTTCTAGGGACCTCAGAAAAGGCTTGTGTCCTGGACCCCCACCCTGGACACAGCCCTTCCCTTCATATTACCTGGTGTACTCCAAGGGACCAAAGCGGCCCGACCAGGCCCACATGGCACCCCAACCCCTCTCCCTGCCTCCCAGGCCCTCTGCCCCTGGGGCCCGGGGCGGCCCTAGCTGGAGACCACAGGGACTGCTCACCACCAGCACCGGGTCCCGAAGGCGCGAGGGCTGCTTCTGCCGGGGCAGCAACGCATGTCTGCGCTCCCGCTCGTGATGCGCGGGGTGAGCCAGGGAAGGGCTGGGCTTGGGCAACCTCCAGTCCAGCTGAGGGGGGACGAAGAAGCCTCCATCAAGGTCTGCCAACCTCGCCCCTCTCCTGCCACCGCAGGTCTTGGTGATGGTCTGAGGACACACCCAGCTCTATCTTCTCCCAGGCTCTCACCTTGAGGGGGTCAGGAGAGGGCTCTGTGCAGCACTGAAGGCCCCCCTGGGCCTGTACTTCCAGGAGGTAGAGCAGGTCTGAGGGTTGGGACTGGCCTGGGAGCTGGAGACTGAGGTGCAGGCCACTTGCAGTACCAGGGCCATTGTTGTGGAGCTGGCGACCAGAGGGAGCGAGATGGGATATTTGGCGGCTCAGCACCTCTCCTAGCCCACAGCTCCCCGACCTCCCACCCCAACCTGGGGATAGGCAGCTCCGCCCTACCTCATAGGTGTGCTCCACTTTGGGGCCCCAGCTGTCAGAACTGTTTTCCCTGCTGCCTTCCGCTGCCACCACCAGAGAGGCTGGAAAAGAGTTCCTGCAGGGGTCCGAGCCCCCAGAGTGAGCTTGAGTCCCTGATTTGCCTGTGGGGTTCCCCCACGCGACTGGGAACTTAGGCTGCGGCCTGCTACTCCCTTATCCACCTCTGGCCTCTCACCCTCGCAGCTCCATGCGGGCCTCCGCCCTGACAGGCACGTGCAGCAGTAGCGCCTCGCTGTTTGGATTCTGGCTGTTCTTGCTGGAGGGAAGGGGACATGGGTGTCTCCATCAGCACGAGACCTGGGGCTGACCCATCTCTCTCAGGCTGCAGGGACACACTGAAGCTGAGCACGATGGGACTCAGCTTGTCCCGGAAGCAGGTCAGCAAGGGGCAGGCCTAGGGCTCAGACGGGGGAGGGTGGCGGGAGGGCTCCCCTGTGCAGTACCTCCTGATCTGCAGCCGGAAGGACACATGCTCCCCAACCTCCTCCAGGTTGTCCACACTCACCAGCATCGTAATTCCTATCTGAGAGGTGGGAGGACCAAAGTTGTTTCCTTAATCCCCTGCGGGGCAGCCCTGCCCTGAAGGTGGCCTCCAATTCTCACTCCCTGGGCTCCCCGTTACCATGTCCATTTTACCGGAAAGCCTAGTCACTCACCCAAGAAAACGCAGATGGGGTGGGAGAGGACCAGGATCCCAGAGCCACGCCAGGGCGAACACCGCCCCGGGAGGAGCCCGCCCCCAGGACCCACCTGGGCATTCTTCTTCATGGGGTTGCCCAGCTCGCACAGCACCACCTTGCTTTCGTTCTCCTTCTTCTGGTTACAAACAAGCCTCTCCAAGCCCTTCGGGAGGCAGTTTGAGGAAGATGGTTAGAACATTCCAAATGTAAGCAAGCTCCCTCGGGAAACACCTGCATGCAGGGAGGGGTGGCGGGGGTGGGGGTGCCTGGGGGTGGAAATTCAGGGACTGTCATGCTTCCCTTTAAGTGTTACTGGAGCACTTTTTTTTTTTAATTTTTTTTTTGGGAAATAAAAAACAAAAAACATTACAAAAAAGGACGGTCCCCTGCTATAAACAACAGCAGCAAACAGAGAGGCGCGCGCGTGTGCGGGCTGCTGACTGGGAGGAAATCCACCCAATGTTCACAGCGGTTCCCGCTAACACCCTAGTTCCCGAGTTCAGTGCATTTCACAATAGGGCTCTGAGTTCTGTGCAAGTCCTCCTCTTCCAGAGTAAGAGAATAATGCACAGCATTCACAGCAGAGCCGGGAAGGGGGTGCTCTCGGGGTGGGGGAGTCAAGTCTCCCGCACCTCCCAGGTGGGTCTCACCTCCGTGTCGCTGAGGGCCCGCATGTAGTGGGCTCCCGGGGGCAGGTGTGCAGCCAGCTCGGCCTCGTAGGCCCCCTCCCCCTCATTGGCCGCTTCCATCCGCAGCTCCAGCACATTGTCGGCTCCAATGAGGAGTGGGGAGCCCGACCTGCAAGGAGAGAGGGGTAAAGCTGAGGAGGGTGGTCCAGGCCCAGGGCCTGAGGGGCGCTAAGGGGCTCAGGACAGAGTGTCAGGACCAGGTGGAGAGGGGTGTCGCCGGGGCAGACGGGGCCAGGGTAGGGCTGAGTGGGCGGTCTCCTCACACACTGGCCGAGAGCTCGAGCTGGGGCACACACAGGTCGTCGTCGCCACAGTCCAGGATGATTCGGGTCTGGAACATCAATGGATGAGGGTAAGTTGGGGGCACGTGAGGCCGGAGGGTCACACCGAGGCTTAGGGAATTAGAAATTCTGGGGATGAAAGAAGTTGCAAGATGACATCGGGGCTTTTGGGGGGTTGCATCCTATTTGGGAGGATGTTAGGGTTTTGGTGGTGATATCAGGCTTTATGGGTCTCTGTCAGAGTGTAGAGGTGACATCAGCATTTGACATGTACATCAGGGTTTAGGGGATATTGAGATTTGGTCTTGTTGGGGTTTTCATTGGGTTTTAGGGTGACATCACAGATCAGAGGTGACATGAAGGTGGCCCGCCCCACCCCACCTGTTCTTGGACATGGGTGTCTCCATGCAGCACGACACCTGGGGCTGACCCCTCTTTCTCAGGCTGCAGGGACACATTGAAGCTGAGCACGATGGGACTCAGCTTGTCCCGGAAGTCAGCCTCGTCCTGCGGAGGGGACAAAAGTCAGATCCTCTTGCTACCCTGCACCCCATCCTGACATCATGGTCCCACTGACCACCCAGGCCCTATAATGCCCACCCTGAACCTCAGGGCTGGACCAACCGCCTCCACACGCCCCACCCTGCCTACCCCAGGCTGGACATACTCGGAGGAAGGCGGTGGCGTTGTGGCAGATGGGGCTGTGCCTCCCACCCAGGTCCAGGTGCAGGGTGGTGCCCGCCTGCTGGGAGCTGAGTAGCAGCACACGGCGGCCCTGGCGGGGCTTCTGCCGGTCCAGCTGCAGCTCAGCACTTAGGCCTGCCAGGGCAAGCAGGCAGAACAGGGTCTCCCTGGCTGACCTCCAGGGAAGGCCAGGCCCACCTCCTCCTGCCCCCACCACACCACTCACGGAGCTTCTGAGGAATGTTATGCCCCGTGGCGCCCACACACATCTGGATGTTAAAACTGCAGAGACACAAAGGGGGGCTCAGGGCTAGGTTCCCCCCTACCTGAGGCGCCCTGTCTGGCCCATGGCCCCTGTCTCCTCACCAGCTCACTGGCGTCTTGGTCTGGCTCAGGACGCAGTTCTTCACAGCAGGGTTCAGCGAATCTTGCACCAGCAGCTGGACAGTGGCCATCACCACGGGCTGGGCTCTGGGGGGATGGGGGATTCTTGCCATGGTGGCCCCTCTAGCCCATCTCCTCTGATGGTGTGTCCCCCACCCCTGGCCCCTGGAGCCAGTGCTCACCTGTATACAACCACCTTGCTGGCCTCATACGCTCCCACCAGTAGATCTGCAGATGGGGGTGGGAGGTCAGAAATGGCAGGTAGAGGGGGCCAAGGGTCCTCACCTCATCTTCCCAGTGGTTCCCCACACCATTTTCCCCACTGGAGGTTTAACCTGCCCCGCTTCTTGCATCTCATGCCCTCAGGTGGGTTGGAGCTCTCAGTGGTACACCAGGTCAAGCCCAAGCCCTGGCTGTGTCAGCATTTCCAGCTAATGCTGGGCCCTTCCTGTCTTGCTGGAGGCAATCCGGGAGTACCTGGATATCCGTTATCATCGATGTCTGTGGCACCTCGCAGGGAGAAACCGAAGCCAGAGCCTGCCGGGAAGGGGCTGTCCAGGACCTGGGAGGGGCGGGGGCTAAGGCCCTCACTCTGACCCAGGAATATCAGCACTTGACCCTCGCCACTGGGACCCCCATAGGGGGCAGCCACCGCAACATCTGGAAGGAGCAGGAGAAAGGGAGTGGCTTTTTGTTATTCAATCTCTCTGGGCAGACCCCAGAGGGCCAGGAGAGGGCTGCAGAGATCTGAGGAAGGAAGCAGCTGCTCTGCCCTCCACTCGGGTAGGAGAGAGACCAGTGAAATTCCTAACAGCCCTTGTTACCTCTTGAGGAAAATACAGTGACATGATTTCATTTAATTATGAAAATTAAGCATTATTATTCTCACTTTAGATGACAGTACTGAGTTCCAGAAGATTGAGGAACAAGACCTGTTAAATGCTGGTCCCCTCTTCCCCTGTTTCACTTAGAACCAAGCAAACCTAGAGTCACACTACAGGCCGGTCACACTAATAACTTTTGGGTTTTTTTAAAGATTTACTTATTGATTGATTGATTGATTGATTGATTTATACATACATACAAGCACTGGGTACAGTCAGAAGCGCGGGAGGGTGAGAGAATTCACCAGAGCAGGGAGCAGGGCAGGCAGAAGGACCGAAGCACACTGCTGAGGGGAGCAGCGGGCGGCAGGAGGGGTCTGCGCACCATGTGGGACCCTCCTCCGATGGTCGGGGAGCAGCCGGGGATCGAACCGGCGCAGGTGAGGCTGTGGGCAGCTTCGCAACCCAGCGCTCAACAGCTGCGCCACCGGGGAGGCCCCACACTAATAACTTTTAAGTCACTCTTGAAAAGTTGTTAATCATTGTAATCTCAGTAAGCTGACAGAGTTTTTAGCATGTGATAGGAATTAAGATCTTAGACAGCGGCTGTCGTCTGACGTGACATGGGGTGCGCTCTGTGACATGCTTTCCCTGGTAGCTGTCTGTGGTGACTTTTTCTTTTTAACATCTGTATTGATTTTTCTGATTGCACCACACACCATTCACGCAAAGAAGACCACTCTGACCACTGCCGTGTCCCCAGGCCTGCCCTGGGCTTGCACTCTCTCCTGATCTCTGCCTTCCTCACCCTGCACTTATTTCCTGATCATTCAATCGCCCTTGCCATCATAGCCTCAGCCCTTTTGCCCCATCGGCAGTCCTGGTCACACCCCACCCAAAGGCCCGTGAACTCTTGATCTCCAGCCTTCTCCCGGGACCTGGGTGCTGACCTGCAGGACTTTCTGCTCAGCTCCCCCTACCAATCTGTTCAGCACCTATTTCCAACCGTCTCCAAACTAGCTCCCAGCAAACCCCCCCAACCCGCCTTCTTTCACAAAGAGAAGCAGCCCAATTTTTGTGCTATAAAACCATACCTCCCCACCCCTGGCCTCCCTGCTGGTGCAGTGGTTGAGCGCTGGCCTGCGAAGCTGCGGCAGCCTCTGCCGCGCCAGTTCAATCCCCGGTTGCTCCCCAGCCACCGGAGGAGGGTCCCACATGGCGCGCAGACCTCTCCTGCCGCCCGCTGCTCCCCTCAGCAGTGTACTTCGGTCCTTCTGCCTGCTCTGCTCCCTGCTCTGGCTCTGGTGAATTTTCTCACCCTCCCGTGCTTCTGACTGTACCCAGTGCTTGTATCAATAAATAAATAAATCTTTTTTTAAAAATAAAAAATAAAACCATACCCCCCTTTCTTTCCCCTTCCCCCAAGAACTAGGTGGTCCTCTTTAACCCTGCCACTCAGCGTCCCTCTCCCACAAGCCCCAGACATCACAGGGACGTTCCTCTGGCTCACTCCTCGCAAAGTCATTTTCCTTCACATTTAACCCATTCCGTATTCCTCCCAACAAAAATAACTTTCCTTTGACTTTCTCTTTGTCTTTTCAGTCAAACCGATTGAAAGTCTCCCTCCAGTTCTTCACCTCCATGCATACCCTGCCCTGGGGCATTTTGACCTCTGTCCCTACCCAGCTCTAAGTGGCTCTTGGCACTGACACCAATGACCTCCTTGCTAAAGCCCATGGACACTTCTCCAGCTCCCTCTAATTGTACCTTTCAGTGCAACTAGGGTACCTTGGAGCCACTGACCCCTCTTGCTCCTGCTTAAAGCATGTTCTTCCTTTGAGTTCTGGGCCATCAGATCTGGTTTCCCTCTTACCTCTCTGACACTCCTCTGCTTTCCAGCCTGACCTCGTCTGGGAGTCTCCTAAGTGCTCCCCAGGGCTCTGCCTGGGTCTTTTCTCACTTCACAGGCTCCCAGGACCTCATCCACCCACCAAGGCCCCTAACCTCAGACCTCTCTGGTGGAAGTGGGGAAACTACACCCAGCTGCACTCTAGACATGCCTGCTTCATGGTCCCAAGCCCTTCAAACTCACACAGATCCAGGGATGAACTGATCTCTCCTATCCCACCACCTCTCACTAATGCATGACCTCCAACTCTATTCTCTCCCTTAGCCCCACATTTAGTCACCCATTAAGTCTTAATAAACTAAGTATTAAATATCTGTGAAATCACAATAATCTCCAAATCCACTGCCAAGATCCACATCCAAATGGTCACTATGTCTTACCTGGACTAAAGCAAACACATCCTAACTTGACTCCTTAAACTCCTGTTTTCCACTCAGCAGCCCAAGTGTTTTAACTGTGTATCCAAGGGGTCCCTTCTGCTTAAAGTCCTTTCTGGCTCCTGCTGCCCCCAGGTCAGACCCATGTTCTTGGGAGCGCTATTAACCCCTCTGCAGCAAGTGGAGCTCCTCCCTCTCCTCACCATTGTAGCCATCCCGGTTGAGGTCACCCAGGGGTGCAATGGCCGAACCAAATCGCCCATAGAGCTGTGTTCCGGTTAGCAGGAGGCTGGGGGCGCCCAGGGCGTGGGAGCCTCGAGGCTGCAGGAACAGGTACACGCGCCCCACCTCGGCCAGCTTGCGGTCAGCGCGGCTTTCCATATATAGGGGCGCACCCACTAGCAGGTCATGCCTCCTGCAGACCAGAGGGGCAGGAGAGAGGATGGGCTAGGGGGATACTGCGGCAGTTGCTTCCCTGCCCTCCCACTCCCTTTGGTGATTTCACGGGAGTGGGGGCTAGGAAAGGCAGAGCTGAGGGCAGTCTACGCCCCTGGTGATTGGGGACCCAATTGGGTAAAAGACAGGCGCACCCTTCCTTACCCATCTCCATTGACATCAGTGACAGCCACCGAGTGCCCAAAGTATGAAGCCATCTGTGAGAAGATAAGGTACACCTTAACTCCCACCCTCCACCCTGACCTGGCACTCTCACTTGGACATCACCCCGGTCCCCCCACACAGCTCGCAGAATGGATCCTAATCCCCCAGCCTCAGGTACCTCCACTGAGCCAGACACGCACCTGTTCTCCGTGTACCCGGTGTAGCTTCCGGTAGTATGAGTCGAAAATTTCCACCTGTGAGGACGAAGGACAGGAACAAGTCATTCTTGCCCTCCACCACTATCTTCCACTCTGGGTGACAAAGGGCAGGAGGTCTGTTTTGCTTGTTTGTTTTGGGGGGAGTTTAGGTTGAGGAATGGGATGAGGAGGCTGGGGAATGTCAAGTGTGGGGCAGGAGGCACTCACCGCTCCCAGGGTCCACCTCCAGGTGGGGGCACCAAAGACATATTCTGGGGAGAGCAGGGCCCAACAAATTAGGTCCTTTGAACCTACCAGCTTCCCAAGCCTCCGTCGGCACCCAGGGGAGATTTAGGAGAGAGACTGAGGTGCTCCCACCGGTCTGGGCTCCCCAACTCCCGCTCCTGACTAAGTGGATTTCTTGCCTGTAGTGCTGAAGTCCCCATCGAACTCGCCCACAGTTACCGAGTATCCTGAAGACACAGCACAGATTAATCTTTCCGGGACAGCAAAGTAGGGAGGGGAGGGCAAGGAAGGAGGGACTCTGAGACCACCCAGTGCACATCTTGCACTGCCTGGTGGAAGGACTGAGGCCATTGAGAGGCCTGGACCCCTGCCAGGCTGTACAGCATCCAGGCTGGGCAAGAAGGGAGAGGTGGGGCGCCTAAAGAATTGGGCACTTTTCTGGCGAAGCTGCAGGAGCCGGGGGTGTTCTCTCACGGGCAGGACCTGAGGGGCAGAGGCGGGAAGCCTAGAGGGGAGCGTGGGTTACCCCGGTAGCCGTCGAAGTACTCTGGGTTGCTGGAGTCAAAGGTCAAGCGCTGACTGGGCACGTGCCACAAGAGGGTGGCCGGGCGGTAACTGGAGACGATATCGGCAATTGGAGCCCGCGCCAGGAGACCTAGGGGGTGAGGACGGCCGGTGTGGGGGCAAGACGCCTGGGGCGCCCCAGGTCGCCGGAGGGAGGGGGGGAGGGGCGGAAGATGGGCACATACCTAAGAAAAAATAACCTCCAGGGGCCCCAAGCACCAGCTCTCCAGCCTGAAAAGGAAGCCCTGAAGGTGAGAGGGGCGCTGTGTGGGAGTCCCTCGCCCCCGAGCCGCTGACGCTCCTACTCACCTGCGTGACCACCGCGCTGAAGCCCACTTCGCAGTAGCGCTTGTCCCCGGCTGCGGGCGGCGAGGGGGCGGGGTCACCGAGGGGCGGGGCCATAGAGGGGCGGGTCAGGGGCGTGGCCTCGCCCGGGGCGGGGCGGGGCCTGGGCCTAGGGGCGGGGCCTAGAGCGGGCGCAGGGGCGGGGCGGGCCGGGGCTGGCCCCTGGGGTGCTGTTGCATTGAAAGCTGCACGTGGGGCGCTAAGAACCCGACTAAGTGACCGCGAGGAGGCGGAGCCAAGCCTGAGAGCAGAACTCACTGAATTCATTTTTCACGTAAATCCGGCTCATGGTGTTGGCTCGGCAGGGCGAGAACTCCGCGCGGCTGCGGTTCTGGAGCTGAGCCACAAAGCAGCCACCTACCGGCGTCTTCTCAGCCTCCTCCGTTTTTTCTAGGACGTTCCAGTGCTGCCAGGGGGCGCAGGCCTGGGGCGGGGCGACAGGAGCGTGGGGAAGGGGCAAGACTCGGGTCCCCTCGCGCGACCTCGTGCCCCTGCCCGGGTGTCCCCTACGGCCTGCCGCGCGGTGCCCACCACAATGTTGTCCTTCCAGCTGACGACCGTCGCCCCCAGCCCTTGCCGAGCCTTGAAGGTTTGGAAAGTTTGAGCGCCGGCTTTGCGGGTTTCATCATCTGCAAGGCAGAAGGAGCGGGCGCTGAAGCCCCGCGACCCGCGCTCGGGCTAGCTCCTCTTTTCCCTCCCTGCGCTGAACTCACTCAGGTCGAAGAGCAGCGAGTTGCACTGGTCGCCCTCGGCCCTCCAGGGGCACAGGAACACGCCGCCCATCTTCTCCTCGTCGCGGCCCAGAGTCTGAGGAGCGCCCACCACTATGATCACGCTGCGTAGGAAAGCGGAGTGAGAGCTGCGTCCATTCCGGGGTACCCTGTGACCCCGCGCCAGCGCTGGGAGCCTGACCAGGAGGAGGGATGTGCAGATCTCATAGGCCATTGATTTCAACCTCGTTGGTTATGGACCATGAAATTGACTCCCAGATAGGGAAAATCTCATGCCCAAAGTAACCCAGTGAACTGAGGGTAAAACTGGGTCTAGAAGCTTATGATTTGATTTGAATAGAGGGGTTTGACATCCTTACTAAACTCTGTATACCATCTGCACTCCTCATCCCCCCACCAAAAGCCAGGGGATTAACATGCTCCCTAGAATGTGTGTCTGGAGACTGTGTTACCAGATCCCTTCTTGAGAGCTGGTTTTAATGGTAAAAAAAAAAAAAAAAAAATTAGGGACACTAGAGGGCACCTCTAAACTTGGCAGGGGGAGTGGTGATAACACTGAGGACACTTGCAGATCTGGGTTCAAATCATAGCTCTGTCATCTATAAGATGGGACAGTACCAACCAGGCAATAGTGCCAGAAGTAAATGAAGTAAATGTATGAGGATATTCTGCGTGGCGCCAGCCAAGTAACACCTAGCAAGTGCTGAAAAACTACTCTCATTTTCTTTATTCAGCATACAAGATGTTTATTGGATGATGCCTATATCTGTGAAAAGGAGGGAAAGAAGCAGAAGTGGAACGAGGAAGGAGTCAAGGAGAGATTCAGGCTCAAAAATAGCCAGAATTTAAAGCCTGGGAGTTAGGGTGCTAGAAGGACTTTTCAGAATTATCCTGAGTTAAGAGGAGAGGGTTGGACAGGACCCTTACACTGTTCTCCCACTTTTACCCTCACAGTTGATCAGTATTGGTTGTGGGCCACATTGGGAAGGGGACTTGACTTTGGGGGGTACAGGAGTGTTCTTCAGCAGAGGAATCCCCCAGGGGCTGATGCTTGAAGGCTACATGCCACTGCTGATCTCCAAGGCTGGGCAGCAGTGACCACCACAGTGGCTAGCTCAGGTAACAGAGTCATGGGGGGGAGAACCAGGATTAATCTGGCAGTCTCACTTTACAGTCTGATCAGTCCCAACCATTAACGCTCTTTACTTCTTTTCACATATTATAATTTTGATGGGAATGGAATAGATAAGCAAGGTGGGGGTGAGAAGTTGATTTTACAGTTTTCTAAGTCAATTTCAGACTCGTGCTCCTCTATATTTCATACTACTGACCCTTCGGAGAAACGAGGGTCTTTTCCAAGTCTTCAGGAAAAACCTTCATCTTCCCTTAGTGTTGATTTGTTGTTTCAATTCCCCTCTACCCGTTGGTGTCCCCCCAAACCCCCCAACACACATACCCCCTTACCTAAGCTGGTCCCTCCCTATTATTCCTACCAATAACTTAAACTGAATAGACCCTAGAAATCATTTCACTCAACCTCTACCACAAATGGGGTACTGGGCCCTCACAGAAGCAGTAATGATGAGAGAATCCTCTCTCCAACACCCAACCTTCCCCCAGCTCACCTCCCACGGCTGTCCTTGTAGAAGTCCAGAGAAAATCCAAAGTGGCTGCCATTGGGGCCTGTGTAGATGGTGAGCCTTGCTGGGTCCAGGTTCAAGGCCCAGGCTGGAGGAACAGCACTAGGTCCCAAGAGCAGCTGTAGCCACACTAGAAGCCAGAAGTCATGAAGTGGGTTCAAAGTCCTGGGCATCTTCCTTCTACCACCTCCTAGGCAGGAATGGGTCAGCTCCTTCCTCCTTCTTCCAGTTTCTACTACAGGAAGTTTTTTCTTATCAAACTGGAACCCACTTGCTGAGCAGTGGAGAGAGAAATGGGCTATAGGCCCTGGAGCTATATGGTTCCTAGGATTGCCAGGAAGGGGCTGAGGCCTCTCCGGGGTGGATGCTGAAGTCTGACAGTCACGACTCCTCCCTTTTCCTGAGAGGAGTGCATCACCAGGTCCTGTTGACTCTGCCTCTCCACTGTGTCTCTTGAATCTTCATCCCACTCCCACGGCTACCTTGCTACTCAGAGCATTCACCACTTTCTGCTTGGGATAGTGCCACCATGAGCTAATTGGTCTGCACACCTCCACTCCAGCCCACAGCTCCTCCTCCCCTCACACAGCTGAGTGTACTGCTCTGTCAGGGACTTGGTTGGAGTTGGGGGGAAGAGTAAGGAAACTGCTGTGCCCTGATAAGACCTGAGGTTGTTTGTCCCTTGGGAGGAGGCACTTATCCACTTCCTCCTCCTAGGATCTTGGGCAGCTTCCGTCAGCCTTTTTGGCATAGTTCTTCCTCCATCTTGGGCTGAGTCTGAGTGTGGCCACTGCAGTACGGCCAGTGCTGGGGAAGAAGTAGTGAATAGATCCTGATCTAATGGGCAAGAGATGGGGATAAAAGCGTCCGTCCAGGGTATTCTGGCTCACAGGCTCTGAGATTATGCCCAACTGTTCTTTCAGAGGTTGAACCAATGTGGTTGCCTGAGGAAAGCCTCCCCTGACTCCTCAGACTGGCGCGCTGGGGTTACGCACCGGCACAGCACTGCTCGCTTTGTTTATTCAAGATCTGTTGACTGGGCTGTGCCCATGAGTCCCTTGACATGGTGCTTTCTTCAGGCCCTGGGTCAAAGACCCAGAATGTAGGAGGTACTACTGAAAGAGATGGAGTGGAAGCATGCACTAAGGACAGATGACACAAATACAGGGTCACGTAGTGGAAAGAAAAGAAAGTGTTTTGAGCAGAAAAGCAAGGCCATAATCTATGGATGGGGAGGTGGGGGTAGCGACAAGTCTTACTGGCTCTGAATGTCTTCCCAGAGAGCAGGTTTCAAGGAGGAAATTCAAGACATCAGCTAGGGGGTAAAGGAATACAGCCGCCTCCTCTTTTAGATTTTGTGATCAAACTTGATCATCTCCTAACCTGCACCATTCTGGAATCCCTTCATCTCCTTGCGTCTCCTGATTCATCGCTTCAGCACACAGCTCAAAATTCTATCCCTTACTAGGTTAGAAGCTCCTTGGATTTTAGTCTGAGTCTTCTTCACTGCTGAATACCCTGTGTCAAGCTTGTGGCTGGTGTGTAATGCATTTGTTAGAGAGAATATTCAGTCCAATACTTACCTTCTATTTTCCCGCTGTCCTCAACTGAGTGGTACTGTATTCCTGGTGTTTACTGCGAAGCCCAGTATCAACTCACATTTATTAAAGTTCTTAATACGCTCTTATTCTGTTCAAGCATTGTAAGATAATCCTGAAAACCCTTAAAAGAACTTAGTCCAGAGGGAGTTAAGACATAATCACACAGAACTGCCTTGGACAGCAAAGCCTGCCTTGAAAAGGGTAGAGATTATGCCTAATTGAAGGCATTAATATCATGCTCATAACAAATCCCTAAGAGATGGACAATCATAAAGATTTTTGAAGTCTGGGAATAAGAGCTACACCGTACTCCAGTTTGGATGATTGCACCATCTGTGGATAGAAGGAACTGGAAAGGATGAGATGGATAGTGACTGAAATTCTCTCAGTTAAAGGTGATGAGATCCACACCAGGGTACTGTCAAGAGCAGGAGAGCTGAGGTTAGAAAATCAGTAATTGGGCCTCCCCTGGTGGCGCAGGCGGTTGAGCGCTGCACTGTGAGGCTGTCCACAGCCTCTGCAGTGCTGGTTCGATCCCGGCCAGCCAGGGTCCCGCATGGTGTGGCAGACCTCTCCTGTCTCCCCCACTGGTCCCCTCAGCAGCGTATTTCATCAGTCTGCCTGTTCTGCTCCCCACTCTGTCTCTGGTGAATCCTCTCACCCTCCTGCACGTCTGGCCTGTACCCTGGTTCTTGTATGAATATTTAAAAAAAAAAAAAAAAGAAAATCAGTAACTGGATGTGGTAGGTAGGTGTCAAAAATTATATAAAGCTTTGGTGCCTGGTTGTCTGGTCACGGTGGTACCAGTAGTTAAAACTGCAAACAGGTGGATGATCAGATTTGGAAGGGGAGAGGAGTTTGGTATTCAACGGTTCTGTTCTTCATGGGTGTTCTTTTGGGATCAGGGCTGAGTTGATCTCCCTCCTGAGAAAGTGGGCAAAGGAGTGCTGACACACTGCTCCCACTTTCTCATCATTCAGGGTCCCAGAATCCATCAATGAATTGAAATTTTTTCATTAAGTCAACAGTTATTGAGCATCTACTCTGTGCCTGGCACTGGAGTAGTTGATGTGGAAGATAGAGTAAAAATCTTTTATCATCTTTGAATGTTTCCTTGCTAAAACCTGATGCATAATCTGCACTTAATGGTATTTTACTTTGCTCTTATCTTTCTTGAACTATAATTAATGCTTAGTGAACATTCAACTCTAGGTGAAACACCCTAAGGCGTTAAGGAAAAGAGGAAGTACAAGAACCAGTCCCTGTCCTCCCAGAGCTTACAATTTCCTGGGAAGCAGTGAATACGAAATGAACGGTACTCAGATTCTGGAGTGAGTAAGCCTATGATGGCACAGGGAGTTAGAGCCTAGTCAGGGAGGCCAGCCAGAGAATTGCAATAATTCAGACATGAATTGATAACGGGGAGGTGAAGGTATTTCTGGCAAATGAGAATGTAAATTGTTGACAAGGTCTCCATTAGTCCTCCAGGGTGTAGAGGAGCAAGTACTTCGGGGTAGAACCCCATTGGAATCATGCAGATGCATACACCTTCACATAGCGTCCTCTAAATAGGTCAGTTGGCCTCTTTCATTCAACATCTTGCCTGCAGAAAAACCATAGTGGGCCTGAAATCAGCCATCAGTTAAGTAAAATTCTACTAATTAAAAATCACTTCCAGGCAGGGATCTTGCTATTTTAGGAAAATAGGCACATCTGAGCACGCAATCCAAGGTTCAAACTGAATAGTTTCTCTAGCCAAGGGGAGAACACAGCTGTACGAGAGTGAGTCTTCGTACTATTCCTTTCTGAAAGACTGGGCAGGAAACTAACTTAGCACTACAAATCTATGGTTAGTTTTTGATGCTCAACTTCCTTGCACTTTGCAGTTTCTTGACACAGAAGAGAAGAGGTTTTTATCTACTATCCATTACGACGCACTCCCTTTTTCCAGGCAGCTCTCATGCACTGTAGTGGAATTAAAGGGTTGAGAATACTTCAAGTCTGGTTCTTGTACATAGAACTCCATCTGGAGGGCAAAGGCGGGACAGATGAGTATTGTATAGTATGAAGTTCATACACTATCTTAAAAATCAAAGCCAGAAATTCTACACCCATTTAGTAAGCACAAACATACCAGACATTCTATTAAAGAATATTTTTCTGAAGTGAGAAGGGTAGAACTAGAAAATGATCGTGGGAAAGATTGGAATGGAGGTGCACTTGTCAAGTTATCTACCAAGGGCTGAAACTTTACCATTACTCTGTCCCACGGCAAAGGCAGCCTGAGAGTCACCTCTTGACGTGGGCAGCCTGAGTGTTAAGAACAATTCCAAACATCATAAACCACTGGTACACAAGAATTTCTTGGTCACTTCAAACACGATCTTATTTGTAGCCCGTAACTCCATTCCTTCCCAACTTGTGTGGATGGAGCAACAATCACGACAGAGTCTGCTAAGTTTCCACAAATCATCGGTTTATTAGAAAGTTCCTTTCCCTAATTTTACAGCATATATATCTCTATCATATGTGATAAAGTTAAATACAATCTGTAATGCTTGTAAGTAAGGTTTTTTTTTTTTTTTTTAAGTTTTAAAATTACTATTCTGGAAGTTAAAGGAAAACTGCCCCCAGGAAGGCAGAGAGGCAGCCAGAGTATGGCTCAATCTACAAGCTAATGGGAAGCAGCACAAAAATGTTAATACTGTATTTTTAAAAATATTTACATGAGCTGAAAGTAAAGAAAGATGAGTCCCTTCACTTCAAACAGATATCATTTTTTTCAGTGCTACCTGTCAAAAATGTGATGCTTGCGTCAGACAAGGAACACTGAAAGTCAAGAACTTTGTCTGTCTAGCACTTGCTTCTCATAGACTCAAAACCTTTGTCTTCTGGGAATTTGAGAAGAAAGGCAGAACAGAGCCTTGGCCCAGGTAAGCGGGGTTTGTTTTTCCTGTCAGGTGACCACCCAACCAGCTCTAGTCACAGGAACAAGTATGGAAATGCCAAATGGGAACAGTTTATCTACACCGAAGATGAGATCTGCAATATGTACACCTTTGGGTCAGTGTGCTAATTAGGTCTGAGAGCCCGGGTGAAAGGCAAGAAGAGGAGAGGAAGTGAGGTGGTATTTCCTCTGGCAGGTGACACGGGAGGGAAAAAAAGGGAATTGTTACTGCTTAAACTAAGCTGGGCAGAAGGCATGGAACTATGAAGCAGAAGAAAATGTGGTCATCTATAAATGTGCTCGCCTCCCCAAAAAAGGAGGAAGAAATCTATCCCAACTCTATCATCCTCCAGTCTACTTCTACTTTAGTTTCTAGCCAACCCAAAAGGCACATTAAAAAAAAAAAAAAATTGTCAGAGGGGGCTAAGTAGTAGGAAGGCAAATGGACTGCCCGGAACAAGGCACCCAGGAGACCCAGGATCCCCCAGACAATCACTCTAAATGTCACTGCTTCCAGAGAATAAAGCTCTTGAATCTCTCCCTCTTCCTCTGTGGGGTCCTTCTGTTTCTCTGTATAAAACAGCAAAGCACATGAGAGACTGTCATAACTGAGCATCATTCCTCTGACACCCCCCAACTGACTGCTGCCCATTAGTTAAAAAAATCCCAGTGCTGGGGGCACCACTTACTGCAAATTACTAAACATTTTGTCCCAGCAAAAAAAGTCAAACAGTGTTTCCCTTGTTTTAACATTTTTATAGTTCATAACTTCAAAAAATACATGAGCTTGATAAAATATACATGCTTAGTCATTTTTGCATCTAGCAGAAAACAAATACTTTATTGTTTTCACTTTATAACCTTTGAAGTTTCTTAATTCAACTAGGGCAAACATATTTACACAAAGCCACCAAAACAAGGATCACTTAAAGAGCTGGATGTAAAAAATATTATTGCAGTATACTACAAATATGGAACTTCTTTTTTAATATGAGCTACAAAAAGCAGCATTTACGTTTATAGAGTTCAGTGCAATTTTTTACATTAAAAAAATCCTATAAATTAAGAAGGAAACATCAACATGACAGAAGAAAACACACCCTTCAGACACATGAGTTCCTCTCTGGGGAGGGACACGGGCGACTCTAGCTTCCACACAGCTTCTATTCATGATAGGATCTTCTCTTCTGGGATGAGGGGCATGACGACAACAGTGCCCAACGCGTGGCACTGTGCGTGGGAAGTGGACTGAAAACAGCCTGAGAAGCATCGGGTTCCAGGTCAGACCCCCTTTCCACCTCACCCAGGATAGCATAAGGTCACCAAGGAAGATCAAAGACAAGGCAGGACCAGATGGACAACCGCTGGCCAAAGTGGAAAATATTTCAAAATTTAGACGGAAAGAGCAGAGGATAAAAGGTAGGTGAAGGGGAGTATCTAAACTCGACAGTTTAGGGGCGTTGCCACAGAGTAGGTGGGCAGCACTTATTGGTGTCCCCTAGTTTAGAAACACGGGGGGGGGGGGGAAGAGGAGACAAACAGACGGGGAAAGGGAAAAAAATCCCTGATAGTAAACCCAAAGCAAACCTCAAATCTAAAACCACCCCCACAAGCCAAAATTCAATTCTTTGGCTGTCAGACACTGCCCATCCCAGCTTCTACTTGCTGGTATCAATGGCTCAACACCCCCAAGGGAACGTCTATGGGTTACCTTCCCTGGCCATCCCTAGGCTCCCACCCTACTCATGTGCCATGGCTGGGAGGGTGCTGCAGGTCCTGACCTGAGAAGATGGGGTGAAGTAGTGGGTGAAGGTGGAGGGCAGTGGCAGCTGCTGCAGCAGGCCGTGGGGCAAGTAGGGTAGGGTAGAGGGCAGCATGGGGGACAGGGTGGAAGGTGAAGGGTCCAGGATGGATGGCTGAGGCAGGAATGATGTGGATGGGATGGCTAGCAAGAAAGGTGGCAGGGTGGCCAGGGATGATCGAATGAGTGAGGTGAGATAAAGAAATGGGAGTCAGGTGTGGTTGGGGAATATGATGGACTTGGGCAAGTGGCTGGGGATGGGGATGGGGGTGAATGCCGATGGCGGCGGCGGCAGCCGCTGCATGATGCTGCAGGATGGCATGCTGAACAGTTGTGATGGAGGTGGCAGAGGCAGTGGCTGGCTGCTGAATGTGGATGGGCTGCAGGGCTGGAGTGGCTGGGGCCAGAGCAGCGGAGGCTGGAAAGGCCTTCACTTGCTTGGCCAAAAGCTGCTGCTGGATGTGTTGCTGTGCGGCCTGCTGGAGCTTGCTGTACTTCTCCATCTCCTCAGGGGTGAAGGTGATGGGCTGGCTCTCTAGGGGGGCCAGTGAAGCATCCTCGGCCCCATCAGCTGACTCAATACTAGGCTCCCCACTATGAGGTGCATAACTGGGGAAATGCTCAAGGTCTGGGGCAATAGGCAGCAAGCTAGATTCCACAGGGCCGGGTTGACTGCCACTATCCAAGGATTCTAGGGTGTCCCCATCACTGGGGTCAGGGAGGTAGTTATGGGAGATGGTTGGGTCCCCAGAATAGCAGTCAGAGTGCACTGGGGTGCTTAGTGGAGCCACAGGATGATCAGCAGTAGCTTCTTCAGACTTTGGCTCTTCTGGGGGTGAGTCTGATAAGGGGCCAGTGGTTTCCTCTGAGGGGAACTGATGTCCAAATGGGGCATCACTATTCCCTGAAGGTCCTTCCTCTGTCTCTGACTGCTCTTGCTCTTCTCCCCTTTCTAAGCCAGACTCTTCACATTTCTTGGTATTGGGTTTTCGGGTAGCTGGGAGCTTTCCTATCAACGGAAGGACAGGCTTATTACCCAGAGAAGGGGGTAGCTTGGGTCCAAAGTAGCCTTGTGGGGGGTCTTTGAGTTTGAGCCCAGCTTTATTAGGGGTGGCCAAAACTTCTTCACCCACACTGGTTTTCTTCTCTACCTTCCTTGACTGGATCTTCTCCAATAGCAGTTTGGCAGTGACAAAGTTCTTGTCTTCAGGGCTACAGTCACCTTCTGACCCCCTTCCTGTGCCAATGTTGCTATTCTGGGAGGGTGGGCCTGCCCCTTTACAGTCATCTCCTCTGCCATCTTCTTTCTTTCCAGAACCTTCCCCCCGGCCTGATCGGAAATAGTGTGGAGATTGGGAACGGTAGATTTTAGAGCGAATGAAGTCTCGACGCCCAGAACGCCTCTCCTCAGGGCTCTCATGACCCCAGGACCCCTTCCTGGAGCCCGATCTCTGGGAAGGGCTCCTGGTGCTGCGGCTGCGGTCCCGGCTATAGCTCCGGCTCCGCTGCCAGCTGTGGGCTGTAGTGCTGCGGCTTCTTCGTTTGCTCCGGCTGCGGCTACAACTGCTGCTGCGGCTACGGCCCCGGGATCTAGAGCGCTCCCTGGTATGACTCCGGGACCGACTCCTGGACTGACTGCAACTGAGGCTATAGTCATCATCAGATGATGAGTATTTGTGCCGCTTGGACCGGTGCTTGGAGCTGGCGTAGTCTGAGTCATCAGAGTCGTGGGAGCGCTTGGAGTGCCTTCGTGATCGGTCACTGTAGTCGCTATAGCTGTCATCGGAGTAACTGCGCTGCCTGCTGTAGCAGCTCTGGTCCGAAGAAGCATCTGAGCTACTCGAGTAAGAGCGCCGGGAAGAGCGGCGTGAGGAATGGCGCCGGCCCGAGCGGGAGCGGCTCCGAGAGTGCTCGCTGGCGGAGTCCTCCTCCTCCTCCTCCTCCTCCTCCTCCTCGCTGTACTGGGATGGAGACTTCGGGTGCGGCCGGCGTGAGGACGCCTCGTCACTCTCCTCGTCTCCGCTGCTGGGCCGACTCCGACGGCTGGACCGGCTGCTCCGTTTGGCGCTGGCTCTTCGCTGGCAAGACGCGGCGGGAGGCTCGCCTTTGTGCTTCCTTCCGCCGTGGTCCTGAGAGCTGCTACCGCCCCCACCTTCATCCTTTTTGCCACTGCTCCCCTCTTCCGCGGGGAGGGATCTCTGCTGGGAGTCCTCTTGAGCTCGCCGTCGTCGTCTTGGGGGTGCCGGGCTACCACTTCCCGGGGGTTCCGTTTTGGGTCCCCGTTCAGAATCTGCCGGTGCGGATGACTTATTCTTCTTTCGTTTTCGTTTCTTGCGTTTCTTAGACTTCTCCCCGGACTCCGCCTTCGAGCTCTTCTCTTCTGAGTCAATCTTGTGTTTCCGTTTGTGTTTGCTGGATTTTTTGTGCTTCTTTTTCTTTTTGTGTCGGTGGGACTTCCCAGATCGTTCCTTCTTGCCAGGAAGGCTTCTCCCTGTGTCTTCTGTCTCTGACCCGTGGCTGCCCCCAGGTTCCTGCTTATTCAGGCTGCTGCAGGCTGACCCTGAAGCAGCTGCATCCATTCTGCCTCCCGCATCATGTTCGACATTCTCTGTCCCCTCCTTGCTTTTATTTGGCTCGCCAGGATCAAGGCTTTGGAGGTGGTCCTTTGAGGAACTGCCCATGACCTTTGGTTTTTCTGTCCCTTTAGCTCTGGTATCCTTGTTCCTTGAAAGTTTAAAGTCAAAGTATAAAGGGTTACAACTGTATGAAATGGAGGGTTCCGCCTTGGTGAAAATTAATAGTTCCGATGGCCACTGGAGGGCGGTGCTTTCATCTTTGCTCAAAACTGGGAAGAATGGACCAGTAGGATGTTTGGGTCCCTCTTGGCTTTCTTTCCCTGCTGAGGTGGCCTGAGAAGTTTCTTTAGAAGGGTTAGACTCACATACTTGGATCTCTGAAGCCTTCTGACCCTGACTGTCTAAACTCTGCTCACTCATATCCCCTCCTGAGGCCTTCTTTGTCTCAGTTTTGCTTGCAGGCTCTGAGGGTTCAGCCACACTGATTTCCAGCTGCTGTTCAGAGACTTCACTAACTGTCTTTTCTGCCCCTTGGCTTGCTGTCACCTTGATGCAGCCTTTAGGCTTGGGTGAACTGCTTTTTTTGCTCTCTAGGGTGTTCTTTGGATGTGTACTATTGTCACCTTCCATTTGTTCACTAGCTCTCATAAAGAGTAAGAAGGGAAAATTAGGCTTTACCTTGCAGTGTGCTGGGGGGATGTAGTGATAATACTCTGGCTCTGTAGCCCCAGCTCCTTCTTCTCGCTTCATTCTTTTTAACTTAGATAATGTTGAGGCAAGGGACCCTCCATCCTGAGGATCTTCATCCTCTTTTTTACCATCAACATTACTGCTACCATCAGTGTCTCCCACCTTCTGTAGCCCTTGATCAGAACCCTTCTCATCAGTTTTTGTTCCATCTTCAGAGGTCCCTTCCTCTGCATGGTCCTTAAAAACTGATGCTATTGATTCAAGTTTAACAGGAGCCTTCTTGGCAAAAGAAAATGACACTCCTAACTTTTGTAATGGGGTCCCCAGATTATTCTTAATGCCAAAACTGATGCCTTGGGAGGCTAACCCAGGAGCCTGTGTCAGTCCAGTGGTATTAGGGATTTGTACTGCAGTGAAAGGGCCTCCTTTATCTGTGGAGAATTCAGATCCCAGGCCGCAAGCAGCAGTGGCACTTGTGGCACTGTTTGTCGCTGATTCATCTTTATCATCATCTCCACCTTCTTCATCTACAGCCACTGTGGTTGGTCTGAACATAGGACCACTTCCAGGTGCACTGTATATGGTTTAGAAAATGAAGCAACAACAACAAACAAACAAGTTTAGGGGAACATTTCATAGATCTTACAAAATACTTCTATGTTCTACTATTCATCACAGACAGGTCTCAAAGAGAGTTGTAGTCACTCCCTATCCCCGTGCTAATGATGGATGTCAGGCAATAAGTCTCTTATTGTCAATCTACCATGCCTAATACTTAGGGCTAGCCAGTTAAATTGCTTTTCATCCTACTCTGTCTAAAAGATACAAAAAGTGAGGCTCATCACACAATTCAAACAATCTATCATTAACATTGATTCAGTCTATGAGTTTTGTATACATTCTCATTTCTTTTTTTTTTTTAATAGAGGCATGTTTGTTTGTTTTTTTTATTTATTTGTTTGTTTGTTTGTTTTGTTTATACATGCACTGGGTACAGTCAGAAGCGCGGGAGGGTAAAAGAATTCACCAGAGCCAGAGCAGGGAGCAGAGCAGGCAGAAGGACTGAAGTACACTGCTGAGGGGAGCAGTGGGCGGCAGGAGAGGTCTGCGCGCCATGTGGGACCCTCCTCCGGTGGCCAGGGAGCAGCCAGGGATCGAACCGGCGCCACAGAGGCCGCGGGCAGCTTTGCAACCCAGCGCTCAACCGCTGCGCCATCTGGGAGGCCCACATTCTCATTTCTTATTGTATCATTCTACCCAATAATATACTATCAACACAGGAGTGAACCTCTACTTAAAGGCTGTACTTAATTCAGTTAAAAAAAATCTTAATTTTCTTTTGTGTTTTCTAATTTCATTTTTTTAAAAAGTGCATATAGCTTCTGAGATAAACATAGAACCCTCAATACATCTGTTTTATAACTAACAGTCTGTGACCATCTCCTGGGCACCATACCCAAGCATTTGCTTTGAGTTTGTGATACATTCTTGACGTTCAATACAATAATTGTGATGCTATCAACCATTTTCTGAGCTTTGACAACAAGAATGATGAGGAGCAAAGTCAGTGTTTTAAGCTCTTGCCACATCTGAAATTTTTTAGTGTGTGGTCTATAAAAATATCTCTCAATCCAAACTAAAAATTGAATGGAATAAGATATCTATTTGGATGAAGTTCTTGTTATCTGATCCCCAGATACCAGTTGTCCAAAACTGAGGGAACAAATGTATTTGGATAAGTGGTATTGTTTGCTGTCTGATCTGCTATTGGAAGACAAGAACGCAGTAAGATTTGGATAGATGAGGTAACACTCACTGTGTCATGGAAGTTATCCCTCTGCAAAGAAACCCTCAAACTCAATTAAAAGGGGACTTATTTTGATTGCTTGCTTAGTCTTTGCCATGTTACTTCGATAATACTACGATAGTGCATTACTCCTAGGTTAATGAACTACATGATGATGGATCAAAACCTTTTATTCTGGGTCTCCCTGATGATGCAGGGGTTAAGCCCCAGCACTATCAAGCTATTGCCAGCCACTGCAGCATGAGTTCAATCCCCAACCTGGGAGCTGACCCACATGGCACAGCAGACCTCTCCTGTCTCTCCTGCCGCTTCTCTCAGCAGTGTATTTCAGTAGATCTGACTGTTTTGCTCCCCACTCTGTCTCTGGTGAATCCGCTCACCCCCCACACCTCTGGCCTACATCCTAATTCTTGTATGCATAAATAAATAAATAAAATAAATCTTAAAAAAAAAAAAGAATTAACAAACAACAACCACCACAAAACACCTTTTATTCTTCCAAGAGGTTACTTGGTCATCTTTTAACTGCTTATTTGAACTGAAAGTCATCTCTGAAGAGAAACATTATGTCCTGAACTAGATAACGGCCTGGTATATACTTTTTAAGGTTGTACCTTGTAATACACGCAAAGGTGTGTTTACTATATGAAGAGCTGCCAAAGGAATTAAAATCAGTTTACTGACAGTTGAATTAAACATTGGCTCTTATAGCTTAATTATGTTTCAAAACTTACACTATATGTTTTTTTTCCCTTCCTTCTTCCTCCACAACACAAGAGAAATAAGTAATAAAAGGACCCAAAGACAAAAAATAAATTTAGGGGGCCTCCCTGGTGACGCAAGGGGTTAAGACGTAACCTATGAAGCTATTTGCAGCACTGTAGCACGAGTTCAATCCCCAAACAGGGAGCTACCCACATGGCGCAGCAGACCTCTCCTGACTTGCCCACTGCTCCCCTCAGCAGTGTACTTCAGTCAATCTGCCTGTTCTGCTCCCCACTCTGTCTGTGGTGAATCCTCTCAACCCCCACATCTCTGGCCTGTACCCCAGCTTTTGTATGTATAAATAAATAAATCATTTTAAAAAAATTTAGTAAGTTCAAGAAATTCGATTTTGGCTCCACCTTAGCTATAAACATTTTTTTTTTTAAACTCACATTTCTTTCTTTTTTTTTTAAAAAAAGGTTTATTTATTTATACAAGCACTGGGTATAGTCAGAGACACGGGAGGGTGAGAGAATTCACCAGAGCCAAAGTGGCAAGTAGAACAGGCAGAGTGATGAAGTACACTACTGAGGGGAGCAATGGGCGGCAGGAGAGGTCTGCGCGCCATGTGGGACACTCACCCAGCGGCTGGGGATCGAACTGGTGCTGCAGAGGCTGTGGGCAGCTTTGCAACCCAACGCTCAACCGCTGCGCCACCGGGGAGGCCCTTAGCTATAAACTTTTAATAGCTAAAAGTTTCAATAACAGTTTCTCTTTCTGAGCTGGAAGGGATCATGCTCAGCAAAATAAGCCAGAAAGAAAAAGAAAAATACCGGATGGTCTCACTCATAGCAGGAATCTAGAAAACCTAAATAAGGAACCAGGACAAAGAATAACTATAAGAAAGATAAAATCAAAATCAACAAACAACTATAAACCAGAGATACATTATTGAGGGAGGGGAGTGGGGAAAGGAGGGGCTGGGGCCAAAATAAGGGGGGTGCAAATGTATGGGGAATATAAAAATAAAAAAAAATTAAAAAAATTAAAAAATAGTTTTTTTTTTAATTTTTTTAAAAAGATTTATTTATTTATTCATACAAGCACTCAGAAGCGCGGTACAGTCAGAAGCGCGGGAGGGTGAGAGAATTCACTAGAGCCAGAACGGAGAGTAGAACAGGCAGAGTGAGGAAGTAAACTGCTGAGGGGAGCAGCAGGTGGCAAGAGAGGTATGCACGCCATGTGGGACCCTCACCCGGTGACCAGAGATCGAACCTGCGCTGCAGAGGCTGCGGGCAGCTTCGCAACCCAGTGCTCAACCGCTGCGCCACTGGGGAGGCCCAATAGTTTCTCTTTCTACTGTAATCAGTTCCTTCCTTTGGTCCTGGACAGTTATTAAAAATAAACATAAGGGCCTAAGTCTTTCCTATTGAGTAACATACATCATGAATGTTCAGATGATCAAAATTGGGTCCCTAAATTCTAGTTGCATGAATATTTAGTTGTAGGTGGAGTAAACTTCATGTAAGGTTAAAAACCAGCCCCAAACTGATAATCAACAAGAACCATGAATGAACATTAAAAAGAATACTCAAGGAGGGGCCTCCCTGGTGGCTCAAAGGGTTAAGCACCACACTATGAAGCAACCCACAGGCCTCTGCAGTATGAGTTAGATTCCCGGCCGGCCAGAGAGATACCCACATGGTGCAGCAGACCTCTCCTGTCTTGCCTGCTGCTCCCTTCAGTAGATTTCAGTAGATTTGTCTGTTCTGCTCCCCACTCTGTCTCTGGTGAATCCTCTCACCCACCGCATCTCTGGCCTGTACCCCAGCTCTCGTATGCATAAATAAATCTTTAAAAAAAAAAAAAGAATACTCAAGGAGACAAGAACCTGAGAGGAATAAGTGGACAGAATTCTCCAGGTTTCATTTAGTACTACTAAAACGTGTAACACTTGAATCTGTGACTCAGTAGTTTGTTTTTTTCTTAAGATTTTCTTTTTTTATTTATGCATACAAGAATTGGGGTGTGTGCCTCCCCTGGTGGCGCAAGCGGTTGAGCACCGCGCTGTGAAGCTGTCCGCAGCCTCTGCAGCACTGGTTTGATCCCGGCCGGTCGGCAAGGGTCCCACATGGTGCAGCAGACCTCTCCTGTCTCTCCTGCTGCTCCCCTCAACAGTGTATTTCATCAGTCTGCCTGTTCTGGTCCCCACTCTGACTCTGCTGAATCCTCTCACCCTCCCATGCATCTGGCCTGTACCCTGGTTCTGGTATAAAATAAATAAATAAATCTTTAAAAAAAAAAGAACTGGGGTGTAGGTCAGAGGTATGGGGGTGGTGGTGAGAGGATTCACCAGAGATAGTGGGGGGCAGAACAGGCAGATCTACTGAAATACACTGCTGAGCAGCAGGCAAGACAGGACTGATCTGCTGCACCATGTATGTCAGCTCCCAGGCTGGGGATCGAACTCATGCCGCAGTGGCTTGATAGCGCTAAGACTTTAACCCTTGCACCACCAGGGAGGATCCCATGACTCAGTAGTTTTTAACTAAATTTTAAGTAAGCTTTAAATAACTAAAGTTGGTTTTTTTTTTTTAAAGATTTATTTATACAAGCACTGGGGTACAGGCCAGAGGCTCGTGAGGATGAGAGAATTCACCAGAGACAGAGTGGGGAGCAGATCAGGTAGAAGAACCGTGGTACACTGCTGAAGGGAGCAGCGGGTGAGACAGGAGAGGTCTGCCTCGCCATGTGGGAATCTCCCTGGCCAGTTGGGAATCGAATGGTGCCACAGAGGCTGTGGACAGTTCCACAGAGCTGCACTCAACCCACTGCACCACTAGGGAGGCCCTAAATAACTAAATTTTAAATAACTTTTTAAACTAAGATTTAAATAAAACAATATTGTAATATATGTGCATTTTCTACTAAGAAGAATGTTAGAGAATGGAAACAGTTGCATAACTTATTCAGTGTGTTATAGTCATTCTTTTATAATCATTTTTGCTTTAATAATTTAACTGCGGGCCTCCCTGGTGGCGCAGCGGTTGAGCACTGGGTTGCGAAGCTGCCTGCAGCCTCTGCGGTGCCGGTTCGATCCCTGGCTGCTCCCAGGCCACCAGAGGAGGGTCCCACATGGCGCGCAGACCTCTCCTGCTGCCCGCTGCTCCCCTCAGCAGAGTACTTCGGTCCTTCTGCCTGCTCTGCTCCCCGCTCTGGCTCTGGTGAATTCTCTCACCCTCCCGCGCTTCTGACTGTACCCAGTGCTTGTATAAATAAATAAATAAATCTTTTTAAAAAATTAAAAAAAAAATCATTAAAAAAAATAATTTAATTGCCCCTCACAACAATTATAAGTAGTAAACTGTTTTATCATCTTCATCTAATAGATAAGGAAAATGAGACCTAACATTCAGGTAATTAAGACCATACAGATAGGATATAGCCTCAAAGTGCAATTTCTTAAACAGCATATTAAACTCCAAGCATAGCTATGCTTTTAGTTTGAATGAAGGATCCGTTAAAAATTTAAGGATTATAATTATTTGTACAACCCTCTAAGAGAAAATATCCTCACCATTCAGCTTGTTTTCTTTGCTCTGCCAACTCATGGAGTCGTCTGAGGGCCTTTTCCTGTTTCTTCTCATCCTTGCGGGATCTTGAAGAGACATTTCGAGCAAACTCTCTCTGCTTGAGATCTTTCAATCTCTGGGGTAACAGAAAAAAAGGAACAGAGGGTGGGTGATTTAGAATAACTTGGGGGTCCTAACAGCAAGGCCTTTTAAGGTATTTACCCTCAATTGAGTGGCTACTGTAGAACACATTGTTATACTCTCTTATGGTAAGAAAACATAATGCTTCATTACTTTGGATAAAACACTTGAAAAAAGTATCTGAATTTCTAAATAGGACAGCATACCATTTGCTTCATTGGGCAAAATAAAATGATTTCAGAAGCAATAAGCAAATTTCAGAACACTTGGAGGAAAGAAAAGGAACTATTTAATCACCTGCTCTTCCCAGATGCAAAACTAGACAAACAGAACATGAGATAAATTTTAATAACATAAGCCAAAAGAGAACAGAAAGGGGTTAAGCTAAGTACAGAAAATTACCCAGGTGCAAGATCTTAAAAAAGCAATGTACAGCTTACATGGGGAGGTTATTTGAATCTGAACAAATAGAAAACATACTTTTATTTCACCATAAAAAGGTGCTCTTATTTCTTTTCCGCATCAACAGTTTTCCTGTAACTATCAAACAAACCATCTTCCAATGCTAGCATGTCCAGAATTCACCAGTCTGACCACTCTGATCTGGCCAGTCTGTTGAAATTTGAGAGTAATATGTGTGAACTTTTCATTCCATCATGGCCCTGAGAGGAACATCCAGGGAATGAGGAGGGAAAATAGAGGTAAGTCAAAGAATTTACTGCTTAAAATCCTGATAAAAGAATGAGTCTATAATTTTCCTTAAAACAAAATGACAGTAACCAAAAAAAGAACAGTGCCGTGACACACTGATGAGAGTCCAGACATCTCTATCTGCACTAAAGTCAGAACTGAAATTATTTTCAACACACTAGAGAATATAAAAAACAAGCAAAACAAAACAAAACATATACATTTAGCCTATGTTTTTACAACAGCATTGGGAAAAGGAATTTGACCCGATATAAAGTGGACATTGCTTTGTGGGAAGGCATGATGTTCAACAGACACAGAAATTTTCTTATCTAAAATTTATGAAATGTGTTTTGAATATTTTTGAATTGGGAGGGAAATAGGGTGAAAAGACACACACAAAAAAAGATATACAGCTAAAGACACTAGTAGAAAAACTCACTCTTGTGATCTGGGCTCCCAAATTAGAAGGAATTGCTTTCAATACATCAGCTGAAAATGTCACATCACAAAGAAAAAAAAGTAAAAAATAAAACAAGAGTGGAAGAGAAAAAAAAATAAAGCAAGCATTACTACACAAGCTCTCTTAGTGAATCTGCAAACTATTATAGTGAACAATCAGGGACAAAGCCATCAACTCTAAAAGGGCTGGGGAGAAGTGAAGCAGCTGTACAACACATATGTGTACGTACACACAGACTGACACAGCAATAATCCCTCTAGAGAAATGGAACTATCTGTATTTCTTCAGGAAAAATGGTTACAGAAGTTTAAGACTAAAGACCACTGCTGTCTAAAAGCAGATTCTTATTTTCATTTATCTTTATTTTTATTTTGGGGAAGTTCAAATAACCAACAGCTGGCATTTTTTTCTTTTCTAAAGCTGGCTGTCCAGAATTAAGATTTTTTTTTAAATAAAAACTATCTCAAGAAAAAGGATTAACTATTTTAATTAATTAAACATTTAATTCCAACTTCCTCCTTCTGAGAATGGGGTCTATCATAATATTTTTGGCCATGAACTCAAACATTTACAGGTTTTCTAGCCAAGCTTTAAATGGAATGTAAGTATTTCTCCTAGCTGCGATCTTCTCCCTAGCCATCCTGTAAGCCAGGAAAACTTCCCCATGCTTAGTCATTTCTTTCCACTTAACAATATTTCATCATTTTTAGGAGTTAATTCACAAATTATAGATCACTGTCCATTTTATAAGTCTCCAGGCCAAGTCAGAGAGAGATTAGGATTTCCAATCATTTAGTAGTCACTTGATGCATCCTTGAAGTTGAAGGGACAGGATTATGTCTACATCATCCTAAAGACACCTTAACTCAAATTCCTCCCACACTTTACCTGGAGGTGGGGAGGGAAGAATATCAATGGAATATCAATAAAACAAATCCAAATTGCAGTCCCTGCTAGACAAAATTATCCTGGTACTATATTTGGAATAGAAAACACTCCCACAATCTCCTTTACAATGTATGGTCAAGTCCAGAGTCTCAAAAGTAGAATAGGGAATCCCAGAATTCTAGCCCAAACCTTAGAGACAGGGTTTAGCAACTCACCCAAATCCAAAATGTACATAAAGTCTCTCAGAGGAGGGTGTTCTCAGGATAAAAATGGATTCCTAAATTTCAATGTCTCTCCGAAGTACTCAAGGTCAAATTAAAATTCCCTTCACAGGAAGGTAGGATTATTCTTTATAAAAGACAGGATTTTTTTTTCCTGAACTGTATAGTACTCTGTCATAGCACTCATCTAGTCAACCATATTTCGCTTTTACTAGTACTTATTCCTGTCTTTCAGAATGGTAGTATGTGTAAAGCTTCAGAGTCAGAAAAACTTGGGTTCAAATCCATTACTTGTTAGTTAAGTGGTTTTACCTCGCTAAGCTCCAGTTCTTTCATTAGAAAAACAGGGCTATCTAGCAAGATTTATGAAATTGTCAAAATAAATGTAGAATAGTATGTCAAATTTGTTCAATGCTGACCTTCCCCCTTATTTTTGTAATCAACACTTAAGTAACTGGAGCACTACTTGAATCTACAGAGATGTCTGGTAAAGGCCTGGTGAATGAGTTGATTAAAAATGATCCTTGAATTTTCCCCACATACATTTTTTACCACCTATAGGGGAGGGTGATATAATATTTTCATGTTTCTACAAGAGATATACTCAAATTTTATTTAATATGGGTTCCTTAGCTATTACTCTCATAGTAACAAAAGTTTATTCTTTAGAGAATCAAAAAGGCAGGTAAGCTCCCTTAGTTCTGAGAAAAATCAGGCCTTTCTCACTGATTTTCATGCACATGGTAGCTGGAATTTCCATTAAATTCCCTAAAAGACTAGAGGAAAGATCTTTAAAAATAACCCATCCACTTGCTGGATCACCTGCTTGAAACACACATCCACTTGTAACTAAGGCTCTTTAGGATAAAGACCACTTCAAATGGAAATGTCATGCCAATTCTTAAAACACAAACACCTTGTTTGGCAGAAAAATGTCTACCGCAGACATGAACAAACTTCTGCTCCACTATCCAATTCTGAACACATTAGAGAAGGGAAATGAGAATCTCCTAAATATCACCAAGTTTTCAACAGGCATAATTACTTTGCCCACATTATCAATAATGTGGAGTGTCAAAAGCAACGAGCAGCACTGTTCAATCTAAATTATAGTCAGCTGGGATGTGCATAGTTCTGCATAGTTTTCCCTAGCAATAAAAGATAATAAAGGTCTGAGTCAAAATATGTTTTTTAATCTTTTGATAACTTCTATCAAAACAAAACTTGATGCTGTAAGTTTCTGACTCTGTATACTTTACTAGAATAAATATGGCTATCTTTGCCAAGTATTTCAACTGATTATCTCAATTTAAATACTAAATCCATTGTTTCCATTTGAAGGGAATTTCAGACATTAAAAGCAGGCAATTCAAAGCAGAGAGCATTTCCTGCTTGCCACTGAAAGTCCTATGTTCTAATATGATTTCTCTTCAACTTTGAAGAGAAAACCTGACTTCTCTCTCTTTAGGGTCACAGATTATTCATGATTTCTTTCTTTTACCAGAGAGTAACCCCATTCTTCTAGAACAGGGACTCAAGTTTAGTCTTTGTAGCTAATCCTACAAAACACACACCCTTATCTATGGCACAAAAGAGATGCTCAACAGACATTTATCAAACTGGTTACTATTTTTTAAAAAGATTTATTTTATTTATTTATGCACACAAGAGCTGGGGTGTAGGCCAGAGGTACGGGAGGGGTGTGTGTGTGAGAGGATTCACCAGAGACAGAGTGGGGAGCAGAACAGGCAGAATGACTGAAATACACTGCTAAGAGGAGCAACAGGTAAGAGAGATCTGTTGAGTCATGCGGATCAGCTCCCTGGCCAGGGATCGAACTCATGCTGAAGTGGCTGCCAATAAATAGCTTCCTGGTGCTGAGACTTAACCCCTTGCACCACCAGGGAGGCCCCCAAACTGGTTACTATTTTAAAATGAGTTTTAAAATAAGGAATACATACATATACTTTTATCTATTATTTATCGGTTATAAGCAGAGATGGGAAAGAGTAAAAGGGGTGGCTATTTGCACCTCAATCTCATTCTGGCTAAACATAATCTGGCCTACTTTGATCCTCAATTTCTCCTTTTCCTCTATGTCAACAATCCTGCATACCCAAAATATATGACCTTTTTATCCAGGTTCTTCCCTTTCATATAATAACATTAATATGATTTTTCTCTCGCTTCCCACACTGGAATATGCATGTACTATAGTTCTTTCTTGGCCAGGATACCCTGATTCAAGTCTCAGTGGCTGATGCTTCTGGATGAGGTCATCCAGGACATCACCATGTGGTGAGGAAGCAAAATGACCAGGAGAGAACATAGGAAGCTTCAGCTTCCTTCCTTAGGGAAGGAAGGTTATAGTTGAGTGGTGTAGGAAATTCAACTTACTGGATAGTAGATGTAAATTTTTTCTTTTGGCACATGCATATCGGTAAATGATGAAAATGTATTTTATTAATAAAGTATATGAAACATTTGGTAACAGAAAACCAAACCCTAATGTTGATTAGAGACACTGAAAAAATCTGAGAAAAACAAAAGTAGACATTCTTTTCACTGGGCAAGAGTAGTATCATTAGTCATTTATGATAATACTTACCAATTATACCCAATTACTTTGCAAAAACAGTGGCTATTAATATTAGATGAGTATCAAACTAATTTGTCATGAAATTAGTGAGAAATACTTGCTTTATTTTGTTCAGAAATTCAGCAAAAGCCTTA